AAGGTACTCCAGAAGGGCGGGACTCCCCACCCTCACCGCATCCTGTTCCTCTGCTGCACTCTGGTTCTCCGGGCAGCAAATCTGTTAGGACAGAATTCGGAGCCCAAGTTGGGTGCCAGGAGCCAGGGATGGGGGCCTGGGCTAGCAGGAGAGCGTCGTCCCCAAGTGGAGCCAGCCTTTTCTTGGGAGCCTCAGGACCGGGAGAGGGCATAGGATTGTTGGGCTGTATCCACCCCTGCTTCAGGGTCGAGTGGGTGTCGGACTGCGGTGGAGCAGGGGCCCCTCTCCTTTGTGTGTGCGTCCCTTCCTCCCCTGGCTCCCGCTCCTGGGTTGGAACTACCCCTCAGTTTGGGGTCTCTTGTCCTCCTCTGGCTGGAGTGGGCTGAGTTAGGTCTGGGTGCCTTGGGGTCCTGAGGACCCTGAGGACTGCAGCCCCCTTGAAATCACCCCTCCTGGTCCTGATGTCCAGGACAGGGCCTCTGGCCCCATCCACCCACAACTGAGCTCCCCACCCTATGTGTACTGCTGTGGGGGGGGGGGGTCCCTCCGCAGTGCTCTGATGAGGTTGACCCCCTGCTGGCCGCAGGTGCTCTGACGAGGTTGCACTACTGTGCTCTGAGAAGCAGTGCAATGATATTGTCAAAGCATCTGGGACCAACCTTGGGGACCCCCCTCCCCCACACTTCCATCTCCTCTTCCCTAGGCGGAGCCCCTTGGGCCTGCAGGTTCTCCCCTCCCCCTTGCTCTGCTGGCTCCCTTCTCCATGGAAACTTGAGATCCTGGCCAGGCCTGGGCCTCTGGGGTCAGAGGGCACCCTTCCCCCAGGCAGAAGCCCCTCCCCGTTGGGCCTGCATTCCTGGTCTGAGATCCCCACCCACCGACCACCGGAGACCAGGCACTGGCAGGCCTGCCTGACACTCTTTCCCTGTTGCACTACTGTGGGCTGCTGGGAAGCAGTGCAATGATGAAAGGGCATCAGTCAGGTCCAGCCCACAACACACAGCACCTGGGGAGAGGGAGTTTTGCTGCCTCACTCCACTTCCCAGCAGTCAGATACAGGTGCAGAGCTGGGCTGGATCCTCTGTCAGAGAACTAGGTGAGTGTAGAGCTGGGGGATTGCCCCATAAATTCTCCAACTGGGTCATGGCTGGACAGGGTCAGAGGCTCTGGATTCAGAAGAGCTCTGGTTTGAAGAGGATCTCTCATACCAGCACCCTGGGTAAGACTGGAAACTCCAGGTTTGGTCAGGGTCTTGTGGAGAAATAGAGGTCCACTGGTCTGCATTGAGGGTCTGTCTGAGGCAGGTTCAGACCCAGCTCACCCTTGACCATGTGGAGGTGAACTGGACCAAGCCCTCCATAGCCTGAAGAGAACGTTTTCCTGGGTTCTCAGCAGGAACAGCACTATTTGGAGTGGGCAGGTGGCCTTGGGATATGAAGCCTGCAGGTGATACCCACCAACTGCACCATCTTGTTTTCTTACAGGGAGATACGCTGCCCTGAGCCTGCGTGAGGGACTATGAGGTGCCTGGCATGTCCACCCTCTCAGCTGGAATTGGGGGGATTGGAGCTGAGCTGCCAAGGAGCCTGGCCCCAGGCATGTCAGCAGGGCAACCTCCACCATCAGGGCCTGACACAATGCACAAGGTTTTTATGTGCCCAGCAATGGTCATGCAACCCTGTCTCCTTGAGAGGAAGCCCAGGTTCTAGATGGGCATTTGGCTATACCCCTCAACCCTGACTGATACCAGTTTCACCTCCACCCTGGGGGTAGAAGCCCTGGCTGGTGTTCATGGAGAGGATGAGGAGCAACAGCACATGCTTCCCTGCCTCCTAGGCTCACCTCTTGGGGTTCTTCCATCCCAAGGCTGCCTGGCTCAGGCCTGTCCACTGAGGTGCCATGGCTGGAGATGGCCACACTTACTCCTGTGCAGATTCTGGAACCATCAGTGGGAGCCCTTGGTGGTGGACTTAAGGGTCTGCTTAAATGTTGCCTTCCAGTGGAAGCTTTATCTGGTTTCAACAGCATCCAATGTCCTTCCAGCAGAGCCTGTTAGATGGAAATATTCTCCCCCTGGCTGAAGTCCTCATTACATTGGGAATCTCTGAGGGCAGGGACTATGTATTTCTTTTTTTTTTTTTTTAATGTCTTGAGAGTGTCCCATACACCTTTTAAAAATACAAATAAACATATAGACTGTGAAGTGGTATAGCAGAACATGGTCAGAAGGTTAATCAGTGGTCTGCTTGACCCCTCAAAGGATGCTTGTTCTGTTTATAAAAAGGCACACACTATATATTTTATTTTTTAAAATGTTATTTATTTAATTTTAGAGGAAGGGTAAGGGAGGGAGAAGGAGAGGGAGAGAAACATTGGCGTGTGAGAAGAACATCCATCGGTTGCCTACTGCATGCCCCTAACCAGGGACCTGGCCTGCAACCCAGGTGTGTGCCTTGACAGGGAATCGAATTGGCGCTTGATTCACTGAGACACACCAGCCAAGGCAACACACACTATATATTTTCAAGTCTCATTTTGTAAGTCACAGGGGTCAGGAAGCAAAATGGATCTTTGAACTCAGGTGTATCTGCCTGCACCCCAAGGCAAATACACAGGCCAGGTCTCCCTCCTTGGTTGTCTCTAAAGCGGGAGGAAGTGAGTGCTGCCGCCTGTGAGGAGGAGAGCTGAGGCTTAGAGGGCTGGGGGTTTAGTGGTAGGAGGTGAAAAATCTCATCAGACTTTTCTGGTGCGCTGCTTGGTTTTCAGGGCTGATTTGGGGTGGGGGTTGGAGGGAGATGTGCAGAGGAGACAGGGAGGCAACAGTTCAGGGTGCGCGCCCGCTGTTTGTGACTGGGGTGGATGGTGGTGTCAGCCACTGACTAAGTAGGAGAGGGAAAAAAATATTGTATGCCAGTCTGGACGTGTTTAGCATGAGATGCCCAAGAAACGTCCCCAGCAGATGCTGGACATGGGTCTGGAGCCCAAGGAAGGCCTGAGTCTGAGATGCAGGTTAGGGTTGCTAAGTCAGTTCTGGGTTGGGACCAAGAAGTGAATGAGATCTTCCAGGTGGTATGGTGGAGGCAGGCCCTCCTGCAACACACGTTGCAGCTTGAGATGCCAGAGAAGTACCAGCAAGTATACGGCAAAGAAGTGGTTAGGAAGGGGGTGTTAATGTCAAAACAGCAGCAGATGTGAGACCTCGGCTGGGTTTGACTAAGCAAGAATTCAGAGCTGAGGCTCAAAAACAAGCAAAAGTTTCTTTAGAAAGTCACAGGGGTAGAAGTGGTGAGGTGTGGAAGAAGCGAGCCAGCTGAGCTGTGTGCACTCAGGAAGCAAGTTACATAGGCAAATGCAGGGCCCTTGGTGGTTAGGAAAAAGGCAGGCAAAGAAAAGGCGCCTGCTGGTAGGAGAGGGGAAAGGGCACCCGCATGCTCAGAGAGGGAGTGTGCGCACACTGGGTCCTGAGTCTTAAGAGCTTTGGTCTGGGGGTCTGGGGGGTGGGAGAGGATCTCAATAGGATATATATGAGCTTTCCAGGTGTGTCCCCTCAGCGTCAAGGCGTCCACTGACTGGTAGTCTGCTTTTGTTGATTTTCCCTGCCTGGAGCTGAAACACAACTGAGGCCTGGATGTTGTCTTTAGTTTGATCAAAATTCTGTCTCTGGTCAACAGATCCAAGGCTTTATTCCTCGGGTTATTTGATGTGGGCTTGATGCTTAAAGTAGTCATGCAAGGGCTTGTACGGGAGTCGAATGAGGCCATTCTCCAGCCCCCTTGTTCCTCTTCTGAGGAACCTGACTAGCAACATGCCAGGGGAGGAAAGGTCAGGGGAGGGTCCCAGCTGCAGGGCCAGTGATGTGCTGGGAGAGGAAAGGTCACCGACGGGCAGGGTCCCACCCACAGATGTCCATTGCCGGGCACCCAGGATTTTCCTCCCTGGTGACCTTATGTACCTGGCCAGCATTCCTACTCTGCTCATGTCTGCATAAGTGCCTTCTATATCGGGGGGAGAGGACAGGCTGGAGAAGAGTGGTTTTGATGCCAGAGAGTAAGAGGATGTTATGCAAAGAGCTGAGGTCTGAGAAAACCTTGCCGAACTCCGAAGAAATAAACAGAGGAAGCCAAAATCATGGCCGTGAAAGACATGGATTTGTTTGGACTTACTGTGCACCAGGGCGGCGGGCTGGTGAAGTTTTCCGCCACACAGGGTTGCATAAGTACAGAAAACAAAGCAAACGGCATGGAGGTTGGGGTGGGGGTGTCCTCCAAGGGCACACGCTGTGTGAGATCTAAACACTAGCTGTTCTCCACAGTTGTTTACAGTTCGGGCTCACATCGAGTAGCAGTTTCTCTTTGGCCCTTTCTTGACGGAGGAGCTGGCCTGCCTCCCAAGGTCTCACAGTGCTACCTTACAGATGGCCTTCATCCTGGTCCCACAGGATGGGAAGGGGAGCTGGAGCTCGGGAATGGGCTCCTGTTCTCACATACCACACAGGAAGAGGGCACAACGTCCAGGGCTGGAAAAGTTGGACAGAGTGAAGTCCCTCGGCCATTGTCTGGGGGAGAAGCAGGGCTCTGGCTGGAGGACTGGGAGGCTACAGACCATGAGAAGGCGGGTACAGCTGGGATAGGGAGGGCCTGGAGGCCGGGCAAGGGATGAGGGCCTCGAAGAAGCTGGAACGTTCCTGCACTGGCCGTGTTCTCGGTGCGGCCCTAGGCTAGGCCGGGATCAAAGCGCTACCGCACTCCCAGCGCAGTGGCCAGTGGCGTTCGCCCTCCCTGTCGAAGGCAGGAGAGCGCTCCTCCAGGGCCAGGGGCATTGTCACGTGCGGCCGGCTCTCCGGATTGGCTCGTCCGGTGGGGGCGCTGGGGCGGTGGCGTGGCGGCCGTGGGAAACAAACGCCCACTGCCCGAGACCAACGCAAGGGCCTTCGCAGGGGCCCCAATCCCGACAGCCGCTCCGCCCTGCAGGCAGTCTGGCCCGCCCGCAGCGCCACCTGGATGGAGATCCTGGACGAGTTCGACCGCGAGTTCCCTCAGAGTGTGACCTTCTGCCAGCTCATCTCCGAGGAGGACTTCGAGAGGCAGGCGACGACTTACACAGAGCGCGCACTGCGCCGCCTCTTCCGTAGCCTGGACCGCAACCCAGCGCTGGCGGAGAGGGTGGTGCGCAAGAGCAAGCAGGCGGAGTGCGAGCAGCGCGGGCTTCTCTCCTTCCTCTGGGTGCGGCCGCGAGAGCTTCAGGGGAAGGGGTGGGGATGGAAAGGGTCCGTGCAGTCACCTCCGGCATCTGCCCTCTAGGGCGGGATTTGGGGGATGGGGGAGGAGTGACCAGCTGGAGTTGCTGGGCTGGGTCTTCCAGAAGCCTGAGGCCACCCAGCTTAGGGAGTGCGGTGGTGAAGGGGCTCACCGTCCAGCTTCCGCCTGGCCTACCTCTCCGGCTGTTGTCGCAGGCCAAGTTCTTCTGCGCAGTCCAGGGGGAGCTGAACTGTTGCAACAGCATGGGCGCCCAAGAGATGCACCAGCGCCTGCAGCACCTGAAGAGGAGCATCCACCGCGTGCACCTGTACTCCCAGGGTGAGGCTCGGCCCCTGTCTGGCCCAAGTGACCGGCAGACCCGGCCCAGGACCCCATGTCCTGAAATCCTCGTTATGAACATGAACATACACAACACTAGAGGCTAGAGTGAGCACCGACATAGCCATCACTTAGCCTCCACGACTGCCTCCCTCTGGCCGTGCTCTAGACCCCAGTTTGCTTTTTCTGGAGCACTTCAGGGAAATCTTAGACATCACTGTTCCTGACACACTTTAGAATGCTTCTTAATAATAATAATAATAAAAAAACAGTTTCTGACATAATCACAGTGTCAAACCTGATGTAATTGACAACAGTTCCCTAATATTAGCTGATACTTAGTCCACAGTCAGACTTCCCAGGAGGTCCACAGGGGTCTTCCCACACTTGCCCTGTCATGTCAGGGCCCAAGAAGGCCCAACGTTGGTGTGGGTGTCAGGCCTCTTAGGTGCCTTTTCACCAGGGTGACTGTATAATGTGTGTCCACACTGGGGCATTTGTGAGGGTGACATGAAGGGGGCCATACTGTGACCACACAGGGGTGGCAAATGAGGACAAGTGGCTGCTGCTGCTGTGAAGTCCCCTTTGCGGTGGCAGCTCTTCTCCCCTCTGCTGCTATGGTCCTGAAAAATGATATGGTCCTTCGGGGTACCCCACTTTTTGGATCTGTTGTTTTGGTCACTGGTGTGGTTTGTCTCCCTCTGCAGCTATTTCTCGGACAGTTGCTCTAAACCTTGATTAGATTTGGGTTCAGTTCGTTTGATGTGTTGGCATTCAGTGGGAGACTATGCTGGTTGGGGGGGCGGGGCTGCTTTCTTCTACATCCCATTAGGAGGCCCAGCTCCCCTGGGTGTCTCATCTCCCGTGATGCTGAATGTGAGTGCCCTGTGTCACCATTTCGTCTGGCGGCAGGATGCACAGCACGTGTACCTTTTACCACAGCCTCCTGAGGTAGCATTGATGTTATTTATCCTTGTTTTGCAGAAGAGAAAGCAGGCCCAGGGGGCCGAGGTTACACAGTAAGTCACAGGGCCCAGAACTGAGCTCAGGTCTGGGTTGCTCTGGGGTGCAGGCTCTCAGCCTCCAGGACAGTGCTCCCTGGCACTGGTTATCATCATTCCAGATGAGCTGTTCTGATGGGCTGTACGGGGAGCTTGTTAACACCCTCTTTACCGGTAGTATTCAATTTTGTACAGTAAAAATAGTCAGGAAGATCTAACATGGACAGAGGAGAGGGGACAGGTCCCAGGGTCCTTCCCCTCAAAATTCCCTGCTTGAAAGAAGGTGCAAGCCCACCCTCATGCAGGTTTTCTCATAGAAGGGCCCTTTGCACAGCCCTGGGACGGCCCCGGGGCTGGGGATAGTCAGCGGGCTCACTGTCCAGGGCCTGGGCACCCAAGAATGCTGGCAGATGTGAGAGCTTTCCCTGATGCTTGGCGGTGGCGGCAGCAGACCAACCTGCCCAGGCCAAGCCCAGCCCTCCGTGGCCGTGACACTCGATCACTTCCCGTGGAATTCTGCCCTGGAAATCAGACAGCCTGATTGTGGATCCTGCCTGTGCCTGTACAGTCGGAGTTTCCAGTTCTGCTTAAAGATAGAGACAAAAGTACCCTTCCCATGTGGGGCAGTTGTGGGGTCAGTGAGGTGGCGTGTGCTGGCGCCTGTCAACAGTGGCCGTGGACATTGCTGTGTGGTGTGCTTGAGGGGGCTGCCTCCCCTCTGTGTTGGGGAGACTAAATACCCCATGCTGTCGTGTTTGGCTCCCACTCCACCCTGTTCTGGCTGGGGGGAAGGCACTCACTTGCACCTTTTGTCACAGATGCCAAGAAGAAGAAAAGGAAGCCTAAAGTGAAGAAACCGGAACCCATCCTCTTGCGGGACCAGTCAACCTCCCCATGCCTGCCACCAACACCGCTGCCACCTCCGCCGTTGCCACCACCTGCCACCACCACAGCCTCTGCGACAGCCCCACCACCCCCTGTCTACGCTATGCCAAGGGTCTTTGGCCCCTTTCCTCCACTGCCTAGCAAGTCGGTCAGTAGATGCATCATCCCTCCATACAGCCCGGGGAGGGGCAGCCTCTGGCACCCTGCTGGGGACCAGCGGCTCTCCCAGGCTGCAGCAGTGACTCTGAGAACTTTGTTTTTAAGCAGCAGAGCCCCTTTTAAGACTGCAGGCAAAGTCTTGGGTGGAACAGCAATGGATAAAGTGATAAAAGGGGGGCTGCTCTGCTTGAAGAGTTGGGGAGGGCGTTGAAAGCGTAGAGCTCTACCTGCTTAGCCTCAGCCGAGCAAGGCACCAGTAGAACCCTGGGGCTGCCAGGGGACAGGTGGAGAACCACAGGCCCCCTTGTCAGGTCTCTCCCTGGGGGTGTCATTCTCCTGTAGTGTCCTTCCTAACCTCCTGCCCCTCCTGACTCCCACTTACCCTACACGCCCACTCCGGCCAGTCTCCCATCCCCCTGGCTGGGTTAGGACCTTCTCATTTGGCCCCTAGCCTCCATCCCATCCCCTGCCCCCTCCTAATACCGAGCTCAAGATGGGCACAGGGGATGAGCCCGATGTATTTGCTGACTGAATGGAAGTCACATAGTTCTAGAGTCCTTGTACCAGCGATTTTTCTTTCACGGTGAGGCCCCCAAGCCTGTCCTGAGATGTCCTTTATTTCCTGCAGGTGGAGAAGATGGAAGTTTCCAGTTCTGAGATGAAACTAAACTGGACTGGCCTGTCATCAAACCGAAAGAGGTAAAAGGAAGTTATGCGGGCGTGAGGCAAGGGAAAAGGGAGCCTTCTGGGAGCATGCCTGGTGCTCAGCTCAGCGGCCGTTTCCTCCCCGTCCTGTAGTTAATCCTCACCACACCCCCGAGTGGTTATTCTCCTTGTCCAGGGGAGCAGTCTAGGCTCCAAGGTCTGTGTCCCCAGGTCGGAGCGGTACCCTCTGAGACTGGGGAGGCCCCACCTGGGAGGATCCCAGAGCTGACGACCCCCCCTCTGTCCTGTCTTGCAGCCACATGGTTGATCTGACCCCCCTGGTCCTCAACCCTGGGGGCTTCCATTTCTCGTACCTGCCTGGAAACAGTGTGCACAAACTCCATTGCCCTGGCTTCCCCTGGTAAGTGTGCTTCTGAGCCTCCCCAGGGCCAGGCACTGTCCTGGCTCAGCCCGTGCTCCGCCTCTGACCAGCACTGTGGTGGTGTGGCCAAGGGCTGGACTAATGTTCTTTATGATGGTGCCTTCCACTTCCAGGAGGGACCCTTGTGTAGTCAGGAGGGCTGGAAAAGTCACTCCCTAGTGTTTGTTATGGGTCGTCTTTTTTTTTATTTTTGAGTTGTAAGACATGTATATATTGTAGACAGAAGACCTTTATATGATTTGCAAATATCTCCTCCCATTTTGTGGGTTGTCTTTCACTTTCTTGATGGTATCCTTTTAAATACAAGAGTTTAAGGTTTAGTCCTTCTGAAAAGCAATCTGCTGCTTGACTGGTGTGTCTCAGTTGGCTGTTCCAAAAAGCAAAAGGTTGCTGGTTTGATTCCCGGTCAGGGCACACGCCTGGATTGCGGGCTGTACGTTCCGTCCTGGTCATGGTAAGTAGGAGAGGCAACCAATAGCTGTTTTTCTCCCTCTCTTTCTCCTTCCCTTCCCCTCTCTCTCTCTAAAAATTAAAAAAAAATCTGTTAAAATATATCAGGAGCTATAGAAGTTCTCAAATTCTCTGATCTAGTCTTTTCAATCCTGGAAAACAACCCCAAGGAGATGAGTAGGCGGGGAAAGTGATTGTGTATAAAAATGTTTATTTTTTATTTTTATTTTTTTAAGATTTTATTTATTTATTTTTAGAGAGGGAAGGGAAGGAGAAAGAGAGAGAGAGAGAAACATCAATGTGCGGTTGCTGGGAGTCATGGCCTGCAACCCAGGCATGTACCCTGACTGGGAATCGAACCTGTGACAGTTTGGTTCGCAGCCCGCACTCAATCCACTGAGCTACGCCAGCCGGGGCTAAAAATGTTTATAATCAGTTTGATTATGTAGATTCATGAGTTACATCTAAGTGGAAGCACAATGGGCTACCCAATCAGATCGGAAGGAGGTGGGGTGGGGAGGCAGCAAGGTACTGGCCGCTGGGTCACAGACAAGGGGGTGGTCAGCAAACACCATTGCCATGTTGTTACAAAGCAAAATGAAAAAGTCCAGCATTACTTACTGAGCCCCATCAGGTCCTCACAGAGCAGTGGAGCCACACAGCAGGGCTGGGTCCTCATCAGGGCATTTCTGTCAAGATATCTTCTAGCTTTCTCTAGGCACAGTTTTAAAAAGTTGCGATTCAAATAGACAGTGCCTTTTTATTTCTCCTGCCTTTCCCTCGTCACGTGAAGGCCCTGGTGAGTTCTATACTTCTTGACGGTGTTTTGAACACAAGTTCCATTGGTCGTGAAATGAACACCCAGTGCACGTAGGGCCGTCACTTATTCAGCTCCACGGGGAGATATGGAAGGTTCTTCCAGTGTTTCCTAGGTTGCTGCCGGGATGGACATCTTTATGTGTGAAGCCGTTCTGGAACTTCAGATTACATTTCTGAAGTAGAATTGCAAGGGAAAGGGTATGAACAGCCTTCAAAAGGACTACCTTTTTTCAGATTCTAAAACCATATGTAAAAGAATATGCCAAATAGACATTTGAACAGTGCACAAAAAAAGACACCAATCACTCTGATTCCCACCACCAGAAATAACTGCTCTTACTGTATATTTGTCTTTTGGTGTAGGTTTCTTCCGGTGGACACACATGTATGTGTACATACAGTAACTTGTTACATAATTGAGAATATCCTGTCTGGCAGTTTGGTAGCCAGTGCTCGAATATGTTTCCTCCCATGTCATGAAAAATGCCTTTTAAATTTACCAATAATAATAGATGCAAAATACTCCATTGTATGGATGAAACATCATTTATTCAACCATTTTTTAAAGATTTTATTTATTTTTAGAGAGATGAGAAGGGAGGGAGAGAAACGTTGATGGGTGACAGATACATCAACTGGTTGCCTCTTACACACTCCCAACCAGGGACCTAGCCTGCAACCCAGCCATGTGCCCTGACTGGGAATCGAACCGGTGATCCTTTGGTTGACAGGCTGGCGCTCAATCCACTGAGCCACACCAGCCAGGGATACTCAACCATTCTTGCTTCTTGAAATATTTCACTAATGGGGCCAATTTTTTAAAACAAAAACTTTATTTATTTATTTTTAGAGAGAGGGGGAGGGAGGGAGAAAATAGAGGTAGAGAAACATTGATCTGTTGCCTTTCGCACACAGCCCAACTAGGGACCGAACCCACATCCCATGCATGTGTCTGGACTGAGAATTGAACCAGCAACCTTTTGCTTTGCAGGACAAAGCCCCACCAACTGAGCCACACCAGTCCGGGCAATGGAGACAATTTTCAGGCTCTTGTTAGGTATTGATTTCTGGGTGAGTGGTGCTCTCATGAGGCCATCACCAAAAATGGGTTATTGTAAACTAGTTTTTAAAAACATACAAAAGCAGAACATATCCCATGGAGAAAAATTTGCAATACAGGAAAGCATGCATAAAGAATCCCCTGCTGCTAAGAGTCCTGCCTCTGAGTTTCGTGTGTACTGTTCCAACATGCACACACACATTAATTTTTTAACCAAAGCAGGATTATATTGCATGTACCTCTCACCGACTTGCTTTTTTCCATTACTGTGTCATTGGGGTGTCTTTACTTGTTGGGGAATACGGACTCACCTCATTCCTTAAATGACTCTAGAATAGTCCACTGCATGGCTACACTTTGGCTCCTGACAGACATTTAGATGTTTCCAGGTTTTCACAATCACACTGTTGCTACAATGAGCAGCCTGGAACAAACCTTCTTGGGGGAGATTTCTGGGAATGTAAGTGCATCTAGGGCCATCCCACAGCCGAGGGGCAGGCTTGTCATGAGTACCTCTGATGGCCCTGTGTACTGGTGTCCGACATTGTGGACATGTCTTGGCTGTCTTCTGCACAGGACTGCATCCTGTAGTGACCCCCCCAACACCGAGGAGACACCAGCCCCTCCTGTGAAGGCCTCCATTTTCACTCCACCTGTCCTGCTCAAGTTCCAGCCTGTGCCTACATGTAAAGATGACTCAGAGAATGACCCTGGCAGTGCAGAGTCTGTGCCCCAAAAGAAGAGCCCATAACCTCTTCCATACAGACGGTTGCGGAGGTGTGAATAAAGTTCTCTTAGAGGTGCCTTCCTTGTGCTGGGGTCCCTAGGGCTGTGCAATCCCATGGACTCCCTGTAGCCTGAAGAGGTTGTCAGTATAGGGCCATCCTGAGGCCCTGAGGCCCTGAGGCCTGAGCTTGCATATAGCAGGAGGGCAGGGCAGGGCTACTGTGAAGTCCCCTTGCTCGCAATCTAATAGGGGAATCCAGTCCTGTGCACTTTGAAAGAGAAATGAGTGAGGAGAGAGTGCTGCCCCTTGCGTCAGGGACCCTGTGGCCCCTTACTTGACCCCACTGAGCTGTAAGTTTACCTTTTTTTTCTACACCCAGCCCCTAAAAACAAGCCTTATCTGGGTGCAAGTTTACAAACAGTGATCTGTCCCCTCCTTAGAGGAAAATGAGCTGGTGTGTCAGTTTTCAACTTGGCACTTCCCTAAGGAATTTCAAAGATAGTGACTCTAGTTGTCGCCTCACACACTGACTTTAGAATCACACCTGCACGTGAGATGTGAGTCCTCACAAAATACTTGATGACCGCTGGACATTAGCAGATATTCATTGCCACTGTGTATGTCCCACAATTTGCTGTGGACTGGAGATAATAAGCCAAGCAGTTGGGGTCCCTTCCCTTAAGGATCTTACATCCCATCCTTGTGCATGTGTGTGTGTGTGTGTGTGGTAAACCAGTATATAGCTCAAATTAATACAGGATTACAAGATGTGAAAAGCCTTATGGAAGCTGAAATGGAGATGTATGGGGTGGGTGGGTGGGTGGGTGGACAAGGAAGGTGTCTCAGAGGAGGGGACGTTTATATTGAAACCTAGAAATGAGAAGGAGCCAGCCATGAGATGAGATGAGAAAGGCAAGGACATCTAGCTTTGGGTGACTAGGTAGATTGCGGTATGGTGGAGGAGGGTGGAGACTGGGGGCTAGGGGGTGAAGGATGGAGAATTCTGCTTTGAGGAGACACGTTAAACTTGAGATCAGCGGATACCCAAGGAGAGATCAGCAGTCTGGAGCACTGGCAATTTAGTGTTGGGCGTCAAGGTTAAAAGTGGTACTTAGAGCCAGGATCACCCAGTGCTTGAGTGTTGACTGAAATCCAGGGCCCAGGCTGGGACACACGAACGTGATTTGGTCGAGGGAAGGGTGGGTCAGAAGAGACCAGAGGGATCAGTGAGGGCTTTGGACTTTCAGGTTTAGGCCACTCAGAAGAGGGTCCTGGATGCGGTGGGGACCAAATGCGTGGAGAGAATGGGAAGTGAGCGTGTACACAGCGAATATGGACGTCGCTTTGGAGGCATCTGTCACTGAGGGGGAGCAGAGATGGGGCAGAGACTGGTGGGACTTTAGGTTCCCGGCATACTATGTAAAAGACCTGAGAACACAGGTCAAAGCAGCACGGGTTTGAGTAGGATGACACTGAGTCGGGGCTGGGCGTGTAGGCGAGGCGCTCAGGTGAAGACGGGGCTACCAGGAGGAGGCAGCTCAGCTCCGACCAAATCCGATCCCAATGGAGAACTCCGTGCCGAGCACCTGCGCCGCCAGCAGACTGACTTGCGAGCCTCCGGCGACCACAGTTCCCGACATGCCCAGCCCCCGCTTCCGGGGCGGGACCCGGAAGTAGTTACACGGTGGGGCCAAGACGCGGTGGTCCGGGTTGTGTGTTGAAGATTTTCCGTGTTTACCAGTCCTGCCACTGCCACCTCTGCAGTCATGGGGAAGCGACAGCACCAGAAGGACAAGATGTAAGTTGAGCCGCAGCCAGGGGCTGCTGGCTCTGCTTGAGCCCCGCCCTGCCTCCCCGCCTGTCCCGCACTCTGCCGGTTCCCCCTTCCCGTTTTTCAGAGCTGGTCCCCAGAGCCCCTCTCAGAAGTCGCTTCCTCCCAGAAACTTCCGCTGCCCTCCCCGGGCGGGGTAATTCCCCCCGACAGCCGCCAAGATTTCCCGGAATCCCGCCTTTGGAGGCGCTTGCCCTAATAGAACACAAGTGCCTTCACCTGGGCGCGGCCTTCCCGTCGCCCCAGCGCCCTTCGAATACAGCCCCTTCGACTTCGCTTTTGCCCTGGACCGCCCCACTGTCCACTCGCGAGCTCTGCTCGTGAATTAGTCCCTCTCTCTTCTGCATCTCCTGTCTCTCCCAGTGTGCCGGTCTATGCCCATCAGCCTACAGGGATGCTACAGAATCAGTTTAAAACCAACCTCGTCCATGTCCCTCTCCAGTTGCCACCGTGTATCTAACGTGAAAGCGCTGTGTGCCCTTGCCGTTTTCTGCTGCCTCTTGAAAGCACTTCAGTGAAGTTTTTTGACCCTCAACACTACTCTTGTCAGGATCCCAGTAACTTCCTTGTTACTAAATCTAGTGGTCAGTTCTCAGTCCTCATTTCGTTGGGCTTCTCAACAGCATAGGACACAACTGACCACGTCTCTCTGAAGCCCTTCTTTGGTATTTGGGACACCACACGTTCTTTCACGCTCTTTATTTTCCCTCTACCTCAGTGGCCTCTCTCTTTGTTGGATCCTCCTCCCCATCTTCCAGACCCCACAGGTCGACATCCCCCAGGCTTCTGCTCCCACTTGCATTCTCCGTGGGTGACTGCAATAGCCAGCTGCTAATTGATATCTCCACTTAGAGATCCAACAAACATATCGAAGTTAATATACCCCAAATGAGACCTTTTCAGTGCCTGAGCACAGTGCCCCTGTTTTCCCTGTCTCAGTTTGCTCAGGTCAGAAGTCTGGGAGTTAGACTTGGTGCCTCTTTCTCCTCCAGTCCATCAGTAAGTCCTGTTGACTCTTCCAGGGGCTGACCACTGTCTCTCCCACCAACTCCCTCCACATAGGCAGGGGTTGTTTTTTGTTTTTAAAATTTTTATTTATTTATTTTTAGACAGAGGGGAAGGGAGAAAGAGGGAAACATCAATGTGTGGTTGCCTCTCATTCGCCCCCTACTGGCAACCCAGGCATGTGCCCTGACTGGGAGTTGAACCGGTGACCCTTTGGTTCTCAGGCTGGAACTCAATCCACTGAGCCACACCAGCCAGGGCTAGGCAGAGTTTGTGTCAATTCCTTCTTGGACCTTTGTAGTCATCTCCTGATTGGATTTCTGTTCCTTCTCTTTTATTTTATTTTCAAAAGATTTTTTTTTTTATTTATTTTTAGAGAGAGAGGAAGGGAGGGAGAAAGAGAGGGAGAGAAACATTGGCCTGCAACCCAGCATGCACCCTGACTGGGAACTGAACCTGCAACCTTTCGGTTTGCAGGTCAATGCGCAATCCACTGAGCCACACCAGTGAGGGGTCTGCTCCTTCTCTTGCTTGTCCCTCTACACGCAGCAGCCCGAGTGATGCTATGAGGACTTACATTAGATCACATCAGGGCCCTGCTCCAAACCCTCCAACAACTTTCCATCCAGCTTACAGCAAATCCAGAGTCCTCACCTGATCTGACCACCATTCTTGTCTCCTTCCTCTCCTGTCACATGCCCCCATGCACACTGTATATCTGTGACTTCACCCTTTGGGAACACAACAGCTTTTCCTGCTTCATGGCTTTTATATATGACATGTCTGCTTGGTCCTTCTGCCCGGAGAGCCCGTCCCCCAGAGATTCACATGGCAAGCTCTTGCTCATCTTCAAGCCTTCTGTTAATTCAGTTCATTTGCTCCAGATCAAAGCCGGACTGTTTGTGTTTGCTTGTTTGTCTATTGCATGCCTGTTGTGTTTATCATTATGTGCCTGTCACATAGTAGGTGTTTAATAAACATTTGCTGAATGAGTGAAATGACTCAGTCACCCATTACTTCTGGAGACTCTGCCCTCTTTACAGAGGGGGTGGAAGTAAGATTCTCTCTCTCTCCTTCAGGTACATTACGTGTGCTGAGTACACACACTTCTATGGTGGCAAGAAACCAGGTAAGGCATGAAATCCTTCTGTTCCCCTTGGTATGTGTGGGGTATAATTAAGGGATGATGTCTTCACTATACAATGAGCCTGTAAAAATGAACAGTTAGCCCTGGTCGGATAGCTCGGTTGGGTAGAGCCCGTCCTGTTATGCCAAGGTTGTGGATTCGATTCCCAGTCAGGGCACATGCAAGAGTCAATCAACGAGTGCATAAATAAGTGAAGCAACAAATCAAGGTTTTTCTCTCTTTGTCTCCCCTCCTTCCTCTCTCTCTAAAAATTAATAAATAAAAATTTAAAAAATTAACAATGAGCAAGAACATGGAAACTCTGGTAGACAAATGGGCTGAGGACAGACAATTCAGAAAAGAGAAAGTACATTAAAAATAGGAGAAAATGTTTAGTCTTGGTTAAGTTTTTTAAATGTAGGTTAAAATAACATTCTTTTCTCTATCAAGTTAGTAGAGGCAGGCATACCTCGTTCTGTTGCACTTTGCTTTATTGTGATTTGCAGATGTTGTGTTTTTGAGCAAGCCTAGGCATGGTTTTTCCAACAGCATTTGCTCACTTTGTGTCTCTGTCACATTTTGGTAATTCTCACAATATTTCAGGCTTTTTCATTATTGTATTTGTTTGGTGAACTGTGTGTCTTTGATGCTACTGTTGTAGTTGTTTTGAGGCATCATGAACTGTACCCAGATAAAACAGCACACACAATCAGTAAATGTGTACTCTGGCTACTTCATTGGTTGGCTAGTCCCTCTCTCTCCCCCTCTCCTTCTTTCCCTGAGAAAGAATATTTCAATACAACAATATTGAAATTAGGCCAATTAATAACCCTACAGCGGCCTCTAAGAGTTCAAGTGAAGGGAAGAGCTGTTAGTCTTGCACTTTAAGTCAGAAGCTAGACATGATTAAGTTAGAAAGACATGTGGAAAGCGGAGCTAGGCTGAAAGCTAGGTACACCTCCTGCACCAGTTAACCAAGTTGTGAATGCAGCAGAAAGTTCTTGAAGGAAATTAAAAGTGCTACTCCAGTGAACACACAAATGGTATGAAAGCAAAACAGCCTGTTGCTGGTGTGGAGAAGGTTTCTGGCTAGAAGATCAAACCAGCCACAACATTATTTAAGCCAAAGCCTAATCTAGAGCAAGGCCCTAACTCCGTTCAATGCTGGGAAGGCTGGGAGAAGTGAGGAGGCTACAGAAGAAAAGTCTGAAGGTAGCGGATGTTGGTTCATGGGATTTAAGGAAAGAAGCCATCTCCATAACAGAAGTGAAAGGTGAAGCAGCAATTGTTGATGGAGAAGCTGCAGCAAATTACCCAGAAGATCTAGCTAAGTTGAAGGTGGCAACAGTAAACAAAAGATTTTTGATGTAGATGAAACAGGCTTATATTGGGAAAAGGTGCCATCTAGGATTCTCGTAGCTGGAGAGGAGCAGTCGATGCCGGGCCTTAGCACTTCAGAGGACAGGCCGACTCTCTGGTTAGGGACTTATGCAGCTGGCGACTTGAAGTGGAAGCCGGTGCTCATCTACCATTCTGCAAGTCCTAGGGTCCTGAAGAATTATGTTACATCTACTCTGCCTGTGCTCGTAAATGGGATGGTGAAGCCTGGATGACAGCACATCTGTTTACATCATGGCGTACTGTTTAAAGCCCACTGTTGTGATCCGCTGCTCAGGAAAAAATGTCCTTTCAAAATATTACTATTCATTGGCAATGAACCTGGTTACCCAGGAGGTCTGATGGAGATATACAATGGAGTTAATGTTATTTTATTTTTATTTTTTTTATAGATGTTATTTATTTATTTTTAGAGAAGGGGAAGGAATGGAGAAAGAGAGGGAGAGAAACATCAATGTGTGGTTGCCTCTCACACACCCCCTACTGGGGACCTGGCCTGCGACCCAGGCATGTGCCCTGACTGGGAATCAAACCAGTGACCCTTTGGTTCACAGGCTGGCGCTCAATCCACTGAGCCACACCAGCTAGGGCTGAACTTTTTCTTAAAATGTAATTGAACTGTTGGTAGAAATACATATGTGAAATTTTTTACAGAAATAACTTTCTGTCTCTTATTTTGTTTTAAACAGATATTCCACAAACAAATTTTCGTCGTTTACCCTTTGACCATTGCAGGTGGGTTTCGAGGGTTTAATTTTCTGTTAGTAATCATTCTCTGAAACACAATTATGTGATAGTCTGATCCTTGCAGATGCAGATAGGGATCTGTGTGTGTCCTCCATTCAGATCTTTCTGGAAGTGGGAGAAGATGACTTAGTAAGAACCAGTGATTATTTTCTTCTTATTCTGTGTCTGTGTTCACAAGTTTGTTTTTTAGCTTCATTCTTACCTTCCAAGGTAGGTAGCCTCTGTTGTTAAGCCTGTTTACTTCGCTTAGAAGAGCGAAGTCCCTTGCCTCACATCCTGGATGCGGTGCCACTGAGGCTCGAACCCTGTGGCCTGCTGCAGGCTGGTGCCTTTCACACTTTCCTTCGGTCAGAGTCTAAGTAGTAACAGCAGCAGCAATAGTCTGATGACCTGCCATGGGAATGCAGGTCACCTGTGGGGGTGGGAAGGGACCCTGCTTTAGAGTCACTCAAATGCTTCTTCCCACCCCAGTTGGTATGTGTATGAACAGAAGATGCATCTGCTGGAACTAGGACTGTTGAACCCCAGGACACTGGGGGCTGTGGGGTGCGTGGGTCTGGTGGTCCCCTTGGGCCTGATTTTCCTAAGTTTGAGCCAGGGTCGTCTCTGCCCTGTACATGTGCCTGTCTGCACAGCATTCCTCCCCACCCCCCAAGTTCTGATTCCATAGGTCAGGGTGAGCCTCGAGAGCTGACAGAACTCTCCTGGTGACCCTGGTACTTCAGCCAAGGCAGGTCAGCCACCTACCACAGGGTGGCGAGGGGGCAGGCAAGGCCACTGGGCCTGTCCTGGGCGCCCAAGATGCTCCCTGCAGCAGTGAGTGAGGGCTCTCCCTGCTTGAAGCATTCACTGCAGGGGGTGAACAAATGAGACCCAGGCGTCTTTGGCTTGGTTTCTCCCCACCCCCACCAGGTCTTGTCATCAGCCTTGTGAGAACATCTTACTCAGGTTGGGTATGAATGGATTGTATGGAGATACTTCCATCTTTGGTTCCTGTTTCCTCCAGGAGGTCTCTGATCTTCTTCTCACCCATTTTTTAACTACATTGGGTACTGGGTAAAAATGTGCTTTGAGAATGTGCCCTTTGGGTGCCATTTGGGAGGAGGTATGACCATGTCTTGCTGCTTGGAGCTTGATTTGGTGCCGGGTCCTGCTGTGGTTGGTCCCCAGCAGCGTTAGCAGCGCCATTGGGTTAGAGCTGACTTTTGGGCCAAAGAAAGGGCTTCCTGGGGCAGCATCCATGGAGGTGCCCCCCATGCTGGCAGGCTTTCTAGATTCCAGGGACTGACCTGTGCTGACCAAACTTACAGGTGACCGATGTATAAACAAGCCAGGTCAGCCTGGGCTCTTGATGGCTAGTGGCAGAAATACCATGCAAGAAAAAAGGGTGTTGGTTCAAGGAAGTCCACCAAGAAGCCTTCCTCTGTAGGCTCTGCTTTTCTTTTCTTTTTTAAAAGTTGATATTAGATGGGAAACCTTGATTTGTTGCTATACTTATTTATGCATTCATTGGTTGATTCTTGTATGTGCCCTGACCAGGGATCGAACCCACAACCATGGCGTATTGAGATGACACTCTAACCAACTGAGCTACCAGGGCAGGCTCTGCTTTTCTTAAGGAGACCCTTCATGAGGAGGCAAATGACCTGTGGTAGTCTGGGCCTCTGTAGGTCCCTCTGCCCCCATACCATGCATGAGAACTTACCCTGGGCTCTTGGGCCTTCAGGCCTTGCCTGAGTCATGTGTCTGCCCCGGGACATGTGGGGAGAACTGTGGGTGCACTCTGTGGGCAGAAGCCCCACCAGAGTTCCTTGGGATGGGCAAGGGCAGTTCTTAGTACAAAACTGTGGCCTGCCTGTGCTTGCCGTATGAGGTGTTGGAGGGTGTACTCCAGTTCTGCCTGTCCCAGGCCACCTCCGGGGTCCTCTTTGGGGACTGACCATGATCCCCTGTGTATTGTATGTCACAGCTCAGGGTGTGGAGAGGACCAGGCTGTGGTTGTCCCTAAACCCTCTCACCACCTCTTGGGACCCTTGCCTTCTAGTTACTGGTTTGTGCCGGGTGCTGCTGAGGGGCAGGGATGTGGAGGTCACCTCGGTGCCGGCACCCATCCCAGGCTGTGCAGGCTGCACTAGAAGTGTTGGAGGACTGGCTGCAGGCTGCAGGAGGGAGGGGCAGAGGGACAAGTCACAGGAGGCATGTGGCAGTGGCCTGGCCAGTCCACTGCATAACTAGGAGTAACCGTGTCCTTTCTCAGTCTCTCTCTGCAGCCCTTCAGCTACCCGGTCTGCACCCCTGAAGGCGTTGTCTTCGACTTGCTGTGAGTTCTCTTGACTTTTGAGCTAACAACCAGGGTGAGATCAGTGACATCCACTCAGGAAGGGGGCATGGGGCCAGCCGGAGGTCTAGTGGTCCCAGGCAGTGCCAGGCCAGGCCACGCTGAGGTCCTGGAACCCTCAGGAGCCCTGGGGGGGCCTCTTGGGGACCCAGGAGGGACTGCCAGGGCCTCAGAGATGAAGCCACAGTGCTGCTGTGCCCCCCGGCAGGCAGCCCTGCTGGCAGGTGCTGGTGTCTCTTTTTGGAGTGGCACCGACCTCCGCGCAGGTGGGCCCTGTTGTTCTAATTGGCACTCATTCTTGTTTTGGAATATTAATGCACTAAATATTTTTCACTCAATGAGTCATAATTAGGGTGTGTACTTTTCCAGTGCTTTATTTTGAAGCATTATGTTCTGTTTTGTGTTCCAACATAAGCCAGCTTATATAATTTTCTCACATTTCAGACTTATTTAGAAAAATTGGAAAATATCTCAAAGGGAAAATTTACCATAATCACACTGTCTGGGATAACCACTCCAATATTTATACTTACCTTTTTCTGTGAGTTTATTGGTGGTAGCATGGTTGAGTTAATACCATGAAGATAGCTCTGGATATATTCTTTCTTTTTTTTTTAAGATTTTATTTATTTATTTTTAGAGAGAAGGGCAGGGAGGGAGAATGAGAGGGAGGGAAACAGTGTGTGGTTGCCTCTCACGCGCCCTCCGCTGGGGACCTGGCCCGCAACCCAGGCATGTGTCCTGGCAGTAATCGAACCAGCGACCCTTTGGCTCGCAGCCCGCGCTCAATCCACTGAGCCACCCCAGCCGGGGCTGGATCCATTCTTTATTCAGTCACCATGAGAGCTTTTCCCCCATGTTACTCAGAATTCTCCAGAAGTTAAAATTTTGATGGTGGTCCATTATCTCATTTTATGGATATATCAACATTTGTGTACATCTTATTTTGCTAGCTTGTGTTGTTCATACGTAACTGTAATGAAAACCCTGAATGTACTTTGAAACGATGTTTCCAGAAATGTCCTCTGCTTCCTTTGACGAGGCAAGGCGCTCCTTTCCTGGCCTCTGCCAGCAGAAGTGGAGGCGGAGCGGCACCCTCCGCACCGGTCCCCAGAGGCAGCCCCCGGGACTGTGCCGCCCCGCCCATCACGCTGATGCTGTCTGTTCTCTTCCCTTCAGGAACATCCTCCCCTGGCTTAAGAAGTACGGGACCAACCCCAGCAATGGCGAGGTAGGGGTTGTGCCGGAGTCCGGGTGATGCCGGTGCATGCTGTCCTGTCGCCTGCCCTCTGGTTCTGTGGGTTTTCGTTCACACACAGGAGTGGCAGAGGACCACTCGTGGGGCGCAGTGAGGGGACTGTTGTCTCTCTGCACCCGTTCCTTTCTGGAAAGGTTTCTTATGTGCATACATGCTTGCACGGCCTCCGTCTTTCCTTGGGCTGTGGGCGTGATCACTTGCAGGAATTCTTCTGTACTTTGCTTTTGTATCCTGCAGTGTGTCGGGGATCTGCGCGTGTCAGTGCGTGAAGCCCTGCCCAGTCCTCGGGCGGCTGTGTGTGCCCTCGCGTGGGGGCACCGCAGGGGGTTTGAAGTCGCCTGCTGTTGCGAGCAGTGGTCTGGGAGCGCCCTGGCGCTCGCCTCCCTGGGCTCGCAGGAGCGTCACGCTGGCAGTGCCGGGGCCTGGGGTGGGTGCATTTCTGTTCTGGCAGCTACTGGCCGGTTTCCTTCGGAAGTTGCACCTTTCAAACTCGGGACAGCAGTGTGAGGAAGAAAATGCCTGTTTCCCTGTACCCTCTGCAGCCCTGGATATCATATGTTTCTTTGACTTTTGTGCTGCATGAGGGCGAAAGTCTTTGTAATTTGTGTTTGTATTGTGAGGTGGGTTAAGCGGCTCCTAATGTGTCATGTACGCAGGCCCGCTGTCGTGAATTCTGTGTGCCTGGAAGAGACTCCCCAGGGTCAAGTGCCAGCTTATTCTCTGCTGCCGCACCCACTGCGCACCTTTATCGCAACCCCATGGTGTGTTCACGGCCTAGTCACCCGCTCTGGTCTCTCCTTCCCCACGCTACAGCTTGTGCCCACTTCTTCGTTTATTCAGTTTCCTCCTTCCAGCAGGAGGGTGTTGGCCCGTGCCGTGTGCGGGGCTGGAGCTGTGAGCAGAGCAGAGGCGGTGGGAGGCAGAGATGCTCGCGGAGAGGGACGTGAGAGGGGGGAGGGCGAGTGGGCTTGGGGGATGTCTCGGGGCAGTGCCGTTGAAACTAAGACCTGGGGACAAGGGGGGATGGGGGCAGACGGGCCCACATCTGGGAACCTTGAAGGCCTTGGAGGGAGCTGGGTATGTCCTTGGTGTATGATTGCCTTTTGCACGCCCCCACTGGGAACCTGGCCTGCAACCCAGGCACGTGCCCTGACTGGGAATCAAACCAGTAACCTTTGGGTTCACAGGCCAGTGCTCAATCCACTGAGCCATACCAGCCAGTGTGGGTGGCCTTTGTTTTAAAAGCTCACTCTGGCTGCTGTGTGGGGAATAGACTGGGGAGGTGAGGGCAGAAGCTGAAAAAGCAGCCTGGGGGCTGTGCACTTGTCTGGACAAGAGCTGCTAGGTGAACTTGGACCAGTGCGGAGGCCAGGGAGGTAGAACAGAGAGGCGGTACTAACGGGACTCACCGAGATACTGCGTCTCCCAGGCCAGGGAGAGTGCTGTGGTAACCTTCTAGTGCAGTCACGCGTTAGGAGGACCAGGTCAGTTAGCATGGCCTGTACCAGGGACAGGCAAGTGGAACCATGTGATCCAGCCTGTGCTTGGGTTCCAGGCTAGTGGGGTTTGTCAGGAAGGTGGATCCCTCAGAATCAGCGCCACAGGCAGCCCGAGGAGAGTGGGGGCACGGAGTGGGGGCAGGCAGTTGGACTGGAGGTGGGATGAGGAGGGCGCCCAGGGAAGGTGGGACTTCTGTGTGACCTTGGAGGACAAGGTGGCTCTACTAGGGTGTCCGGGGCAGTGTTTGAGGCTGAGAGGTTAGCCTGAGGACAGCGTGGCCTGTGGAGGGGTTGGCTAGCAGTGTGGGCACTGGCACCGTGGGGCTGGACGGACGCCGTCTTAGAGTCCGTGTGTCAGGTTGAGGCCCCGGCCTGACCGGGAAGGCACTGGGCTGGGGTGAGGCCTGGTAAGCTGTGACACAGACTCTGCAGGTCATAGTCATAGTCGTCGTTGTCACCGTTTTCAGGGAGGCCTGAGAGGACTGGGTGTCGTGAGGCTTGAGGGGGAGGGAGGGAGGCGGGGGAGGGAAGTGAACAGCGTCCTGCTTGCCGGCCTAGGGCTGGTGAAATGTCTCTGGTTTGGTCTTTACCTAGCTGTGCTCTTGTTACCTATTTTCTGTGTGCTGCCCGCACACTTGGGGCCCAGTGACATTCTGGGCGGGCGCAGGTTCTGAGCGCCCTTTGGGTCAGGCCGGAGGCACTGGGAAGCGAAGGAGCTGGGCTGGCGGCGCGTGTTCTGGGAGCAGCTGCTGAAGGCCTGTGGCTTTCCTCTTTCAGATGGTCGGGGATGCAGGGTGCTCCTCCCCAAGGAGAGCCCTCTTTCCTGTTTCTGCTGTGCTCTTCCCTTGTATTTTTTATTTTTGTCATTGAAAGTGTGACCATCAGTGTTCTTCTGTGAGATCTGCCTGGGAGCCACTGCAGCCTTCCAGGGGCCTCCTGCAGGGCTCGGGTTTTCAGGGTGCATTGCCTTCCCTGGCACGGAGGCCCTGCCTGCCGCCGGGGAGCAGCCAGTGTCCAGGCTGGGACTCCTCTGCCGCGGAGGGTCTGTCCTTGGCTCCCTCTGGTGGTTTTCAGGCCCCACTCTGCTCCCTCCCTCCCTCCCTTCCTTCCCTCTCCTCTCTTTTCCTCCCTTCTCTTCTTCTCCCCTCCCCTTCCTTCATCACCAGGGCTCCCTTGTATTTTGTTGTCTGCACCTGTCCCCCTGTCCTCTGTCTCTTCTCCATTTGGTTGCGTCTGGGGTGTTTTTGTTATTTGGGGTTCCCCCCCACAGATGCTCTGCAGGGGTCTCCAAGACGTGTGTGTTGCCCTGGGCTCAGCCTCCCGCCATGTCCATCATGGTGAAGGTCAGCTAAGCCCTGGCTGGCTTGGCCCCTGTCACTTCTCTGGGCCCCAGGACAGGCGCGTTGTGTTTGTGGGGTGTCTGTGCGTGGCCTTGGGCCCAGGGTGCCTGAGCCTAAAGGAGAAGGGCTGCCTTGTGGGAGCGGCCTGGGAGCAAGGCCTCTGCCATCTGTCCTGGGTCTGAGGCCCACCCGAGCAGACCTGTGGGGGGCAGAACAAAAGAGGAAGGGATGAAGCCAGGTTTGGGGTGGTGGCAGGCCACTGTAGGGGAGGGAGGGTGCAGGGCTGGAGCTTGGCTTAGGGGCCCAGCCCTGGAACACCCCCCAGTGTCCCCTTTGGGCTCTGGGTAGGTAGGGCTGGGCTCCTGAGTGGCAGTGGCTGCAGGGACATGGACTCTGAGTCAGGTGTTCCCCGTGGGCAGCTTTGCCTCTCTGCTCCAGGGTCTCTCCACAGCCCCCTTCACCGCCTCCGGCGGAGGCCTTCTCAGCAGGGCTGCCGCTTCCCTCTGGCTGCCGGGACTCGGTTGCACCGAGAAGTCTCCTGCAGGAGAGGTGACTGCACACACACAGAAACGCTAGAAAGTAGAGGATCCCATCACAGTTTCTCTTAGCATTTGGGCATATTTATTTCTTCCCCCCGACTTTTTAGTGTTTTGTCTTTCTTAACTAGTTTATACAACAGAAGAAGAAGGTGAACACCACCCAGCTCAAGAAATACATTCACTTTTTAATTTAATAAATAATCAGTGCTTGCCATGAGACTATCTGAACATCACAGAGTGTAAGCAAACCTCCCCCTCGGCCTCCGGCCTAAATGTCAGCCCCTGCGCTCAGGGTCGGTCTGCTGGCCCAGAGGCTGGGGTTCTGCTGTGCAGCCCCCCGTCTGGGTGAAGTGCTGTGTCCTGGGCACCCAGGTCAGCACCCGTGCCTGTTCCCGCGGGGAAGGCTGGGGCCGTCCGAGACTTCCCCAGTCTGAGGCGTCACCCGGCCTCCGCATTGTCAGCCTTCGTGTCAGTTGCTGCTCTTCATTGTTAATTACGATTCTACTTCTTTCAGAAACTGGACGGGCGGTCCCTGATCAAGCTGAACTTCGCCAAGAACAGCGAAGGTACGGGATCTCTTTTACAGCCAGCCCAGGGGCTGGCCCGCAGACTGCAGCCGCCGCCTCTCACCAGGTCTCCGCAGACCCAGTTGTTCCTCTCTGGTCAGCCGGCTGTTGCTCTTAATCTCTCAGAGATGTAACGTAATTCTTTCTTAAGGGTCCAGGTAGTTTTTAAAGCTGAGGTGGTGCAGCCTTGGGTTTTGGTTATTTCTTCGCACTAAGGCCGTCGGGCCATGTGGGCCTCTGGTGGCCTTTGTGGGCACAGGTGGGCCGTGTGGCTCTGGTCTGCTCCTGGCTGGAGGCAGAAGCTGTGGAGGCCAAGAGCCCTGGGGCGGACGGCTAGGTGGTGGTGTGGGGGTGTGACGGAACGGTGGGGTGGCTCTTGTGCTGGGCTTCTCTACACCACTGGTCGTAAAGCCCGAGCCCAGCTGGGGTCCTCCTGCTTCACGTCCCTGCACACCCTGTCATTGGCCAGATGCCCTAGCTGAGGCAACCCCCAGGGGCACTGACCTTGCTCTCGGTGCTCTGTGGGCCTGGCATGGTTCTCTTGGCCTGTGCAGACCCTGGTCAAGGCTGGTGTCCGTGCTCACTGGGTGTGTGCGTTCTAGGGAGACACTGACGCACCTGAGGCTGGGGCCCGTCCGACGGGCCTCGTTGAGACAGAAGCACAATGCTTCAGGGACAGTCCCTGGGGGTCAGGGAGCTCCGCCAGCCCTGGCAGCTGAGTGCTGTGGGCTTCCCTGCTCGGAGGTCAGCTGATTCGGGGAGGCCCACAGTGTGTCTCATTCAGCAAATATGTGCTGCGTGCCTGCCATGTACAGAGAGGAGAACAGGCCAGGTCTGTCCTGGAATGAAAGGAGCTTACATTACAGTAAGGGAGGAAGCTGACAGTACATCACTGTGGTGTGGCGGATGCTTCTCTAGCCAGGGACCAAAGTAAAGCAGGGTGAGGAGACAGAAGGTCGTAGGAAAACTCATGGACAGAGTTTGAGTGGAAATCTGATGGGAAGGAGGGAGGGAGCCACGTGGGGATGTAGGGGGGGAGCATTCCATGCGGAGGGTACAGCCAGTGCAAAGGCCCTGAGGTGAGTCTGGGGGCAACCAGAAGTCCAGTGCTGCTGGACCAGTGTGTTGAGGGCTGGAATCAGAGGCTGTAGTCAGAGGGGTCGGAAGCAGGGGGACAGGGTGCAGAGCAGTCCTGTGGGGCTTGGGCGGCCGCTGGAGGTCTCGGATGGGAGCCAGAGAGGAAATGGGATCTGTCCTCATTTTTGCCCATGAACACCTTTGGCCTAGCAGTCACCTTTTTTTTTGTTTTTGTATTTTGCTTTGTTTTGTTTTTAATTGACGATCTCAATCCTGGCTGGTGTGGCTCACTGGATGGAGTGCCAGCTTGTGAACCAAAGGGTCACTGGTTTGATTCCCAGTCAGGGCACATGCCTGGGTTGAGGGCCGGGTTCCCAGTAGGGGGCGTGGGAGAAGCAACCACACATTGATGTTTCTCTCCCTCTCTTTCTTCTTCTGTCTGTCTGAATATAAATAAATAAAATCCTTAAAAAAGAAAAAGAAAATTTCAGACACGTGAGAGCAGGTGCTGCGTGTATGGGTCTCCACCAGCCAGCTGCAGTTCCCGTCCACTCACCTGTTGGTTTTATCTGCGTTTCCACTGAGCACCTGCTTAGGTGATTTTTAAAGCAGATTCTGACACTGTATCAGTTCATTGTACATGCTTCGGTGTGTATCTCTAAAAGATAAAGACTTAGCCCTGACCAGTGTTTCTCAGTGGGTTGGGCATTGTCCTGCAAAGCGAAAGGTCGCCATTTGATTCCCGGTCAGGACACGTGCCTTTGTTGCATGTAGGAGAGGCAACCGATTGATGTTCCTCTCTCACATTGATGTTTCTCTCCCTCTTTCCCTCCTTCCTTTCCCCCTTTCTAAAAATAAATAAGTTAAATAAGTAAATTTTTAAAAAGATAAGGGCTTTAAAAATAATCATCACAATACTACTTTTACACCTAAAAGATTAACAGGAATTCCTTAATATCACTAACTATCCAGCCAGTGGTCAGATTTCTAGAATGCTTTCATAATTATTTTTATATAGTTTGCATACCAAGATTATTTAAAGGCCCACACAAATGTGTGTGATTGATACCTCTAAGTCTAACAGTCTGTAAGTGTTCCCCCCTTTGCATTTTACTTTTTGGGGCTTATTTGAACAGGCTCCTGGCTACCTGTAGGGGCTGGTGGGGAGGGGCAGGGACAGCAGGAGTTTGCTGCAGTATCCCGGCGCCAGGGTGAGGGATGTGGCAGGGCCTGGGGTGGAGGGGGAGGCCAGGGGCTGGTGGAGCAGGCACCTCCGGGGAAGGCCATGTAGGGGCTGGGTCTTGCGGGATGAACAGGAGTTTCCTGGTGGCTTTGGAGGAGGGGCTGGAGTAGCTAGCTGTGCCTCCGGGCCGGGTCTGGGTGGGCTGATGCGGGTTCTGCCCGCCGCCTTTCTCTGACTGGTCTGCCCGTGCACGCCTCTCCCCAGGCAAGTACCACTGCCCGGTGCTGTTCACCGTGTTCACCAACAACAGCCACATCGTGGCCGTCAGGACCACCGGCAACGTCTATGCCTATGAGGTAGGTTCTCGGGAACTGAGGCACGTACAGGCTCTCCAGGTGTGCGCTCCTGGGAACCCTTGTCTGGGCTCTGGGATTGCCCTGGGCACAGCGTGCCCCTGTGGGGCCGCCAGCACAGCCGAGAAAAGGCAGGGCCTCTGACCCGAAAACTGGGTAGTTCTTTTGTACCCAGGGGTCCTCCCCACAGTCGGCTTTTGGAGAGACTGTTAGGCCCTGGGAGGGACCCTGTGCTCTGAGGTCAGGCTCCAGGGCTTTGAGAGGAGTCCTGAGCCCCCCAGTTCTTGGAATCCCCAAGAGGGGCAGATGTGGACTGGCGGGCAGGTGTGGGGAGGGGAGGCCCTGGTTTCTGCACGGGTTGTTCTCTGGACATGTCAGCAGAGGGTTCGGACAGTAGGGGTGTAGGCCCCTCGTTGTGGGGCAGCCATCTCTGAACTGTTTTCACACCTGTCCCTGACCATCGGCAGCATCCAGGTGGCTAGTGCTGCCCTAGGGTCTCTGGGGGTGACACCTTGCCTGAGTGTGCATGGATGTGGGGGAACTTGGTACAGATGGATGCCTTGTTGAGCCTGTCTGCTGATGTTGAGACATGTGTCACAGAGCGCCCTGTGAGGAACCTTGTTCAGGGGGCTGAATTTGGGTTTCCGGGGCTCCACAAGCATCCCCCGAGGTGGCAGGGCCGTGACTGTGAGCTCTCGGTGGGCACACGGTAGTCCTGTCCTTCGTCTCCCTGCTGGACCAGTGCCGTTGTCTGGGCGGGCTGTAGGCTCCCAGCGCCGGGCTGGGAACAAGCACCGTCACAGTTGCCTTGCTCCCGACTGCAGGCCGTGGAGCAGCTAAACATCAAGGCTAAGAACTTCCGAGACCTGCTGACTGATGAGCCCTTCTCCCGGCAGGACATCATCACCCTCCAGGTGGGTGTCCCTTCCCCTGTGGTTCCCAGGAGGGACCACCCGAGAACCTTGGCTCAGCTCCCCGTGGCCAACCCCACCTCTCCACCCAGCCTTGGGGGCTTCCTCTCCGCCACCTGTCTGGTCGCGGTGCCCCAGCTGCTACCGACAGTGTTCCCGCCTCCTGCCTCCTTCTGCTCGGTCGCACGGGCCTTTGCACTTCCCCAGCCTGTCCCTGCTGTGCCAGGGCCCCTCCTCTCTGTCCTCAGAGCCATCTCGGCATCTGAGTGGCCTCTTTGTAGGCCTGGCTCTCCTCCTGCCCTCTTGAGAGTGGGAGTGGGTGTGTGCTCTGTACCCCAGTGTTGGGCACAGGACACCCCTGAAGGTGTCGGAGTACCCTGGGTGAGTTAATAAAAACATGTACGTAGGATATCCAGGAGTGACTTACACAGGGGCAGTCCTTCTGTGGCTTGTCCCATTTTAATGGGAGGTTAGTACACATTCCCTCCAAGGGGGAGGGCTGGCTGTCCCCAGAGCACGAGAACCTGTGGGGCCTATGTCTGGCCGCCAGGCTGAAGGGAGGGGTACCGGGCAGCCTGCGGGAGGCCTGGAGGTGGGCATGCTGTGCCTGCCCACGTCCCCTCGAGGACTCCATCCGTCCTGTGGCTGCCTAACAACAAGGGACACTTGTCAGCTGTGTGCCAAGAAGTGGCTGCGGTTTGGTGAGCAGCCAGCTGTCTGAGCCAGTCTCTACCCTACCCTTGCTGTGGCCCTGCCTGGGGCGGAGCCCTCTCCCAGTCCTGGTGCCCCTGATCCATGCTCGACCCACCAGGTCTCCTTGCAGCCACTAGTGTCTCCCCTCGTGGCCCAGGACCCTCGTGCCACCCAGCCTTCCTCCGCAGCAGGGCGGCCACGTGGCCACAGCCCGGGGCCTGACGCAGTGCTGGGCGCTCTGCTGCATGTGTTCCTTTTGCCACAGGACCCCACCAATTTGGACAAATTCAATGTCTCCAACTTCTTTCACGTTAAGAACAACATGAAGATAACAGACCCAGGTACGAGCAGCCAGGGGTGGTCGGGGTACTGGGGGTTGGGGGGAAATGAGAGGGAGCTCCCTGGGCAGAGCCCCCGCCTCCTGGGGCCAGAGTCGTGATCAAGCCGAGGCAGGCCTGGCATTTCCCGAGCTGACGTTCAGCTTCTGTGCAGAGACTGGCAGGACGACGCTGGCCCATGCTGCCCTTAGGGAGCCCGATGTGGTGGGTGCCAGCTGGGCCCTTACGCCTTAGTGTCCACAGCCTCATATGGGACGGGCCTGGACACCTGTCCTCCCCACTCCACACTGCTCCGGGGATCCTCAGGGTTGCTTCCTCGGCCGGGCCCTCAGGTCCTGGATGGGGCCCTGTCTTGGCTCCCTAGAGACCGTACCTGTTGTTGCTGCGGGGACTGGTGCTCAGGCAGGCTGGGGGGTCCTGTGGGGGCTGGCAAGTGTGGGGACTGCTCAGCTGGCTGGGTGTCACCACCGAGGGCTGTTTGTGAACACCGTTGTGATCAAGGCCGGGCTGGGGACAGAGACCAAAGCCAGCTCCAGCAGAAGCCTTGGCGGGCAAGCTGCTGCCCTTCTGGGCTGTCCCCTCATCTTCTCCCTGCACACGCCTTCCTGGGTTTGTAGTGACTACGAATGACACTGTGGTGGAGGCTCGGCCTGTGTTCGGGTCTGGGTTTCTGCCGGTACTGTCCCCTCTGGCCTCTTGTCCTTGTCATATGCATCTGGGGACATCCCCGGGAGCTCAGCTGCTCAGGCTGCCTTGCTGTTCTGCAGATGAAGAAAAGGCCAAGCAGGACCCGTCGTACTATCTGAAAAACACAAACACCGAGACCCGGGAGACACTGCAGGAGCTCTACAAGGAGTTCAAAGGGGACGAGGTCCTGGCGGCCACCATGAAAGCCCCAGAGAAGAAGAAGGTGGACAAACTGAATGCCGTGAGTAGGAGGAGGGCCACAGAACTGCCAGCCCAAGCACCCCCCTTCAAGGCCCCTCAGAGTGGGGTACATTTGGAGGGGAGGCAGCTGGATCCGAGAGCCGAGGTGCCCTTGGGGGCCCAGAGGACAGCTGCACTGAGGAGGCTGGGGAGCCTGGGACAGACGTCCTAGGTGGCTAGCTGCCAGGTGGCTTTGGTGGTACCGCATGACACAGTGGCCTCAGGCTCGCAGGTCTGTGGGAGGGGATGTCCGGGGGGTGTGGGGTCACCGCCCTACACAGCTGGTCACAGTCACGTGGTGCCCAGAGCAAAACCAGGGACAGATGGTGGGGCATTTCAGGGGTGCTGTGGTGCTGAGGGGAGGGAACAGGGGTGTTTGGTGGCTGCCCCTCCTGGGCAGTCAGGCTCACTTCTCACTGTGCCCAGTGGCTGGCCTCGAGGCCCTCAGTCAGCAGCAATGGCGCCAGCATCAGTGCCTTGGTCTGGCGGGCCCGGAGCTGCCCTTCCCTGCTTCAGCCTGCAAGCTGGGGCTGTGGGGACGGGCGGCGGGGCTCTGAGGCTCCCTCCTTAGAAAATGCTCAGGAAAATTTGCAAAAGGAAAAAAGTTTGTTCTTCACTCTGCCACTCTTAACACCAGAGCTCTTAGCATTTTGGCATACTTCCTTCTGCTGGGGAGGAATCCCTCCTTTTATCTTTTCCCTCTGCCAAGGATGAGGAAATATTTCTATGGCTCATGTTCATGATTAAAAGTGTAATGTGTTGAATTGTAGAAACTGAAAATTTTCAAAAGGAAACTAGAGCCCCTTATTCCTTGGGGCCTTAGAGGAAGCCAGTTTGGGCTGGGCCATCCTGTCCCCAAGGAAGTTCCTCGTGAGATCTTTGGGTGGTGGTCAGGGACGCCAACCTGGATGGGAGGGGTCGAGTAGGGGCCTGAGCACCGGGCCAGCTGGGTCCCATGTCCCCGGCCCACCGCCTCCCAGGGCGCCGCTGACGTGCCCACGTGGTTCTCTTGGCAGGCCCACTACTCCACTGGGAAGGTTAGCGCCTCCTTCACCTCCACCGCCATGGTGCCCGAGACCACACACGAAGCAGGTAGCTGCCTCCGCTCCTCCATCGCCAGGGCTGCTGCTTAACGGCCGCTCAGGCACGTGCCCTGTCCCCCATTCTCACACTGCTGCGTCGTGTCTGGGCTTTGTGGGCCCTTAGGCAGCTCGGAAAGAGTGGGGGTGGGCGGGGACTGGCCCTTTTGGAGCTGTGTTTGTGTTTGCGATGGGGGAGGCTGTAGCAAGGTCTGGGCCTGGGGCCGGAGGCACCCCCCATGCCACGTCCTGCCTGCTGGGCACCCTCCCCCCCCCCCCCGGCCTCTTCCCAGGCTACTCGTGGCACCTCAGCCCTGCACCAAGGCTGCTATTATCATCCTCAAGCTCTCTTCCTCCTGGGTTTTAGGCCTGTCAGGTCCCCGACTCTCCCCCACCCCTCTGCACCCCCGCCGAGCCTTCCCAGCACCCCTGCTGGGGCTTCTGAGCCCTCCGTGCCCTCTCCTGTGCTCAGCTAGGGCGGGCCCCTGGGCTCCCCCAGGGCTGGGGCTCGGGCTCGAGTTCAGCCCTTGGTGGAGTGGGGTGTGGCTGTCTTCGGGTTGGGGGAAAGCACAGAGCTCGGCCTCTGCTCGCAGCCGCCATCGACGAGGACGTGCTGCGCTACCAGTTTGTGAAGAAGAAGGGCTACGTGCGGCTGCACACCAGCAAGGGCGACCTCAACCTGGAGCTGCACTGCGACATGGTGGGTGTGGCGGCCGTCCCCTCCCCTGCCCAGAGTCGTTTCCAGGGCCTGAAACCTGGGGCAGCACTTAGGATGGGCTTGTAGTAGAAAAAGACGGCGTCCTCCGGAGGGCGTGGAGGGCCCCCCTCCCCCATCCCTCAGACGCGACCCTGCCAGCCACGTGCTGTGTCTCCTCCGCCCAAGTCCTGTGGCGAGCACACACTGGAGTCACACCCACTGCCCTGCGGCCCTTGCTCTTGGAGGCTACAAGTTTCTTGTCGTTCAGCGTCATGAGTGCTTACTGTGGCACCCATGGGCAGCTGACCCTCTCCCACTGTGTGATCGGGGCTTGGGTGGCATTCATGACCCTTCCTCGGCTGCTTCGTGCCTCACAGGGGTGTCTGGGCTATTTTGCAGACACCAAAAACCTGCGAAAACTTCATCAGGCTCTGCAAGAAGCAGTATTATGATGGCACCATCTTCCACAGGTCCATTAGGAACTTCGTGGTGAGCTATGTGGGCCAGCGCCAGCCTTGCGGGGCCACACGGACCCTGGAGGGGACTCAGGAGCCTCTGCTCCCCGGGCCAGGAGCCTGCCCTTTGAATACCCCACCTGGCCACTTGGGGCTTGTGCAGATGGAACTGGGAGGGTGTCCGTCCTCGCCAAGAGCTCAGACCCCTTGGGGCCCATCTGGCAGAAGGGGAATTGCTTCTGCCAGTGGACACTGGGCAGTTGCTGAAGGGCCGGCAGGGCATCAGGGTCACAGGGCATGGCTTCTCATTGGCTTTCGTTCTTCCTGCAGATCCAGGGGGGTGACCCCACTGGCACAGGCACAGGTAGGTACTGGTGCTGGGGCTCCCTGGGCAGCTGCAGCTGCCCCAAAGGGGTGCCATGAGGGGTAGGTGGGTGGGGGCAGGGCTGAGAGTTCCAGATGTGGACACGGGTAGGCCAGGTAGCAGGGTGCCGTGAGACCTTGGGTCCCTGTTCTCTCATTTTGAAATGGTCATGAGGCCCAAATGGTAGATGGAAGTGGGAGCGTGTTGCCTCTACAGGGCTCCGGGGCACCCACCTTGGTCAGAGGGCCAAGGGATGCTTCAGGGAGTCCGCAGCAGAGGGAGGTTGCGCCCCGCGCCAGATGTCTGTCTGCCCTCCCACTGCCTCCCAAAGCCCCCCTTAGCTTGTGTGCTGCTTGGGCACAGGCCCACTCATTCACCCACTTGGGTTAGCAGTAACGTGTGACCTTCACCCTTCACTCCATCTTCAGGGCCAGGGCTGCCCTCCAAGGGCCCAGTGCCCCTTGAGACCTGGCATAGGTTTCTGGAGCTGGCTGCACCCAGCTAGGACCCGGGCGTGCTCGCTGCCAGCTGTGCTTTCTCTTCCAGGTGGGGAGTCGTTCTGGGGAAAACCCTTCCGAGATGAGTTCCGGCCCAACCTCTCGCACACGGGCCGAGGCATCCTCAGCATGGCCAACTCAGGGCCCAACACCAACAAGTCTCAGTTGTGAGTGGCTGGGCGGCTGTGGGATGGGCCTGGGGAGGAGGTGCAAGGCTCCCTGCAGGGTCCCCCTCAGTCTTGCCCTGAATCCAGTCAAGGTGCGCAGCAACCCCGGGGAGGCGGACGACTCACAGGTGACACAGCCCAGACCTGTTGAGCGCAGGCGTGTGCACTTCCATGCAGAGTAGGTCAGCAGGCAGCACTGCACCCTGGGGCACGTGCCCGCAAGGGACCAGGTGGCCGGAGTCCCCAGGAGATGCAGAAAGGCCTCCTGGAGAAGGTGCCCTGTGAAGTGGCTGTGGGCGTGGGCACGGGTGCCCAGGCAGGGAGGGGCTGGAATCTGGGTCTGGCCTGAGCAGCCATTGCTGGGGTACATTTATGGCAACGCGGGTACCTGGTTAAGGGACGAGAATTCTGCTTTGACGGCCATATCGGATGCCTGAGACACCCACCTGTTCTTAGTGGGTTTACGTGTTGGTGCTAAGAGGACGCAGGTGGGCTAGAAGTACAGGCCTGGGTGTCCCGGGCAGGGGTGGGGGCCCACCAGGGGCAAGAATGGGCAGTTGGACCTGCCCTGGTGCCGGTGGAGGAGAGGAGAGGCTCCTGGCATCTCCCCTCTTCTCCCCTCCCCTCCCCTCCGTTGTGTTTTCCATTTCTGTGTGAACTGGGGGTCTTGTTCTGGCCTCAGTTCTGTTCACTGCTGGTTGTGCCTGCCCTGCTCTCACGCTCCCTTGGTTCCAAGGAGCCGCAGGTGTAGACTGAGACGGGGCAGGGGAGGTTGGTTTGGGAGCAGAGGGGGCCCCAGGCTGGTTGGGGGCGGCTTTCTGGGACGTTCGATAGGGTGCACCTGCCCGGCTTTTTGGGCGGGATTTGCGGGGAGGGCTCCGTCTAGGCTTGTTTCTCTCAGTTGGTCCTCGTCAGCCTTCTCTGGGATCTTTAGGGTTTATGCGTTTCATTACTTACAGTTTTTAAGAACCCCTAACTCCTACTTGTATTTCTGAACCCTGTACTTATTAGGTGGTTTGTATTTTTCTGGTTAAAGTCTTTTTAGGCGTCATCTATATTCCAAATAATGTTTTAAAATATGTATTCCTTTGTATCTGTCTCTAGTTTTCAGTTGTTAAGGGGGTTTTCTGTAAACTTTGGAAGGCCTTAAATTTTTTTTTGGAGGCAGGAAGGTTTTATTTTTGTATTACATATTTATGCTATTTTTGTATGTGAATGCACACAAGGCAACTTCATTTTCTTCCATTTGTGCCAGCATCACTTACAGAGAAACCCTTCCTTTTCCAGCTAAGGGGCCGCCTTGCTGTTGACTGGTGCGGGGAGATCGCTCCTCTGAGCTCTCACCTTTGTCCAGTGACTGGCCAGCCCCCGGCCTCATGGGCACAGGGCAAAAGCAAGGAGGGGCTGGGACCATTTGGGAGTCTGGGCCTCTCCCCTGGGGAGCCCTCATAGGGCGGAGCCCTTTTATACCAAAGGTCCCCTAGCTTAGAGGTGACTAGTTTGTTCCAGCGGCCTTGGGGGACAAGGCAGGCTGGGGTAGGGTAAGCTCCACGCCCTTCCTGACCCTTCTGTCCTCCTCCCCAGTTTCATCACCTTCCGCTCCTGTGCGTACCTGGACAAGAAGCACACCATCTTTGGGCGGTAAGAGAAGCCACTGCACGAGGCACAGGGCGTCGGCAAGGGCAGCCTCCTGGCCCGGCCGGGTCTCGCTGCCTCTTCCCCGGTCCTGTCCCTACCAAGGTCATGGTCATGCATAAGTGGGGACTTGGGGCTTCTCTGTTGGGCAGGGGACCTTGGGTAAGGAGAGGCCAGCTCCAGCCCTGCCTGGTGGGTGTCCTGCTCACAGTCAGCCCCTCAGTTCACCTTTGGATGATCCCAGATCACCTGTCTGGGCCACCTCCTTTGCCCCCATTCTCCCGTCCAGGGGTCAGCAGACTTTCCCTGTGAAGGCCTGAGGGTATTTCCAGCTCTGTGGCCTCAGGGTCTTTGTCGCACTCCTCAGCCCTGGCTGTGGTGTGAAAGCAGCTACAGTCAGTGTGGGAGCGATGGCGGCCCGCCAGACCTGCCTCTCAGGCTGCTGCTCTCCCGGCCTGCGGTCCTGTCCCTGCCCCGTGGGCCTTTCCGGATCCAGTCCGTCTCTGTGGGGCCTTCGTGGGCCTCGGCCCAGGCCCCTTCCCAGCCCCTCTTCCTGCCACGCCAGGACTTGGTCCTTGGGGGTGCCCTGAGCTGGGCATACTAAGAGGCCGCCTCCCTCTGCTACAGGGTTGTGGGGGGCTTTGACACACTGACGGCCATGGAGAATGTGGAGAGCGACCCCAAAACCGACCGTCCCAAGGTACATGTCCTGGGAGAACAGAGGGGCTGCTCCTCAGGCGCAGCTGGGCAGGCGTGGGGTCCCGTTGCCCCGTTGCCCCCTGCCAGCCCGGCTCACTGGCCCCCGCCTCACTTCAGGAGGAGATCCGCATCGACTCCACCACCGTGTTCGTGGACCCCTTCGAGGAGGCTGACGTCCAGGTGAGGAGGGAGCAGCTGCCACATGGGGAGGGACTTGGGGGGAGTCCTGTCCAGCCCGAGGGGCTGTGGGCCAGCTGTCACCCTGTTCCACCACAGATTGCTGAGGAGCGGAAGAAGACCCAGCTGGAGGAGGCAGCCCCAGAGAGCACAGCGAAGAAAAGCCAGCCCAAGTCAGGGAGCCAGGGTCCCCCAATGTACCGCCAGGGGGTGGGCAAATACATCAGTCCAGCAGCCACGTGAGTGCAGTGGGAGCCAGTGTCTGTTCCCACGGTGCGCCCCACGAGTTGGCCGCTGCAGGCCGGAGCCTGCTCCGGGGTGAGGACGTAATGGGCACCGGGGTGAGTGGGTGCTGGGAGGACCCCAGCAGGCTGAGGGGCTCACACTTGGGGTGGGGGTGGGGGGGACAGTGTGGAGACACGTGGCTTGCACCTCGGGGGCTGGCCCCCACAGCAGCTGGAGTCCCACTCTCCTCTTCCCAGGAAACGTGTAGCAGACGAGGAACCGTCAACCAGTGCAGCTGTCCCCGTGGCCAAGAAAAAGCCCAGCCGAGGTTTCACGGACTTCAGCTCGTGGTAGTGGCGGGCCTGCTGCTCTGGGTCCTGGTAGGGACGCAGCGCTGGGGCTTGTGTCCCGCATCCCGGAGGTTTTCTGCCCTTTGGGCTGCGGCTCAGCAAAGCTCTTGCCTGGGTCTCCTTTTCTGGCCCTGGGAGCCTATGGGTCTCCTCACCTCCCACCCAGGGCTGGGCCCTGGCCCTGTTTGCAGGCCTGTTGTCTCCTGACCCCATTTCTGTCACCTTGTTGGGGATGTTGGCTCCATGTGGTTCCCAACCAGCGGCATCACCTGGAAGCTTGTTAGGAACATTCTCACACCCCGGGCCTTGTGACCTGGAGGCAACGCTAGCGGTTTGAGGACCCTGGACTAGTACTTTGATGTTATTTCCAAAAACCTTTTCTGCCACCTCTTGCTTGGGTTTGTTGTGTCCACCCCAGCAAGGACCATGGGCGGTCGCAGCCTGGCTCTGGGTTCCACCTCAGGGCCACCCGCCCACCTCTGTGCCTCAGGACGGTGATGGGACCACGTGGGTGAAGACAGCCGGCTCCTGCTGGCCGTGTAGAAGGCCCCAGCGAGCTGGCATGCTCCCCTCACCCGTTCTTTTCCACCCTCAGGGTCCATGCTGTGCTCAGCGCTGACCGTCAGCCCCAGCTGTTTAGGGCTGTCAGGCCGGGTGTACCAGCATTTGCTGACTGAAAGATCCCTGATCCTATAAATGTCTTCAAAAAGCTGACTGCTGCCTGCCCGTCCTTGTTTTCTGTTCACTCTGCAGTCTGCCAGCCTGCTTCCCATTCTCCTGACCTTGACCCTGCTACCTCAGCTCTCCTGAAGTGCCTCTGTGGAAGCGTGGCAACAGCTGCCTCCTCCCAGGCCCACGTCTCCTCTAGCCCTGGGGCTCTGAAAGGGTCACTGCCCACCTCTCATGCCCCCCCGTCGGCACAGGCCACCACCCATCCTGCTCGTCACGCTGAAACTCTAACTCGGCTGCACCCTTGGTTGCTCCTCTTTCCCTCCTCATCCAAAACCTCAGTTCCACCGGTGAGTCTCAGCAGCTTCCTTCCAGAATGCACCTTGGCTCTTCCCCAGCTCTCATGCTGAACACCAGGTTCCAGGGCTGTCACCAGCCTCGGTCTTGGCCCCGTGTGCACGTCCACATGGGGCCAAGCCACCTTCCCAGAGCTCACTGGCCTCGTCTTGCTTCAGGACAGAGACTGGCTGTCCCCTGTGCTGAGAACAAGGTCCGTGCCCTGCTTGGGGCCTGTCCCTCTGCCGTCTCCCTGCACCCCCGACAGGCAGCAGGGGACCTGGGCTCTGCAGAGTGAGTGCCTAGCCCCTCTGCAACTTCGGCCAGACACGACCCCCTCACACCACAGACAGCTGAGCTCTCACTTGTGAGAGGCTGTCTGCACCAGCACTGGCTCCAAGAGCCTGGCTCACGCAGGAAGAGGGGGCAGGCAGGGTCGGGTGAAGACACGGGGGGCGGGGTTGGTGACCTGCGTGGGTACAGCACACCATCATCTCCTGGACTCTCCCTGGGGGAGGCGGCTAGCCCTCCCGCAGTTCAGAAGCAAGTGCTGAGTGCGCTGAGCCGAAGCCCTGTGACTACGTGGTGAGGCTTTCCCGGGCCCTGCTCACAGGCCCCAAACGGGCAGTGAGCCTGGCAGCCGGCGCCCCAAAGGCTGTATCTGCATGTGACAGCGCAGGGCGGGGACCACCTACGGGAAGGAGAGCAGGCCCCTCTGCTCGCCGGGAGCTGCACAGCACCACGGCCTTGTCCCTCGGCATCAGAGCAGAGCACCTGAGTCACACGTGCTACCGAAAAGGAGACGCTGGACATGGGAGCTTTATTTTTAAACCTCACAGACACAGAGGACCGAGGGCTGGACACAGGGAGGCCGAGGGGGGCTTGTGCGCTCGGGCTCGGCAGTCCCACTCTGAGGGGCGGACCTCCGGGCCAGCCGGGCCGCAGCCCCGTGGGCCACCCCATGGCGGGAGGACGGGCCGGCCCGGAACCTTTGACAGACGAGGCTTTACGTTTCTGTAGGTGGTTTGGGAGCTTAAGCTGTAGTCGTCCAGAAGTGAAAACCACTTGGATTTTTTAAGTACCTGGTGAGGTCATCAGGTAAATTAAAGGACTTTTGAAAAATTCCTTTTTCTGATCCTTGCTAATAATATCTGACAGATGCCATCAAGATTAAATGTTAAGGTACAAAAATACTATATTTATGTATATATAAAATGGCAACAAAACTAAACCACATTTCTAAAGCAAGTGTACTGTGCCAGAGGGCACGGCCTAGTTTTGTGTTAGATGCATTTATAATCTTGGCATCACCACCTACTCTTCTCCAGGACAGTATTTTAAATAAATAAAAGTCAGGGGATGATGACTGCTGTTTAGGATTTTAAGAGGGTGGAACATTCCAGCCCTTTACCAGCATGTCTGGTCGTGGTTTCGTGGGCGTCCTTCCCTGAAGCCAGCTCATGGTCGGTTCATTTGGTTTCAAAAGGAGCTTGGATTTCGCAGAGGACAAAAAGGGGTAAGAATACTTGTATCAGTTACAAAAAAGAAGAAAACACAAATGTCGTAACTCCACTGGGAAGAAGGGTTTGGTGCCCTCACAAGACACGGCACAGAAACCAAAGTGCGCGAACGGAAGGGGCCGGAAACTCGCCCAGAACATAGAAAAGCTTCAGATACAAGGTTAGTATGTACAAAAACTGATCGGAAGAACTTCGGAAAGAGTCCTCAGTCTCCGCGAAGACCTCGTGGGGAAGCGCTCGGAGTCGCGGCCCCCGGCCTCTCCAGGGGCAGCACTGGGGCTCATGGAGGGACCGGACCGAGAAGGGGAATGTCAGTTTAGGCCAAGTTTTCAATAGTCAGTACTCACTCCTCAAGGAAGGCGTCCTCCGAGTTTTCACTGAGGACCGAGCTGCTGGAGTGTGGCGTTTCACGTGCCCGCGCACTGGTGAGGCGTCTTCGGGTTTCGGGCCCCGGCAGCGATGGGAGTGACCGCGCCCTGAAGGCCTCAAGGCTGCACGGCCAGAGGACACACGGGAAGTGCCGGGGCAGCCCAGAGCTTTGGGGACAGCAGCTCAGGGAAACAGCAACCGGCGGGAGCACCTGCTAGTGCAGAGACCCCACCGCTGAACAAAGATCTTCCTTCCCAGTCGAGGATGCGCGTCCGAGGCTCCTCCGTGTGCTGACGCGCCCTGATGTCCCTGCACCCGGGGCTGCCACGCTTCGAGTTGCACGGCGTCGAGACTTAGGCAGAGATGGTGCCAAAGGGAAGCTCCAGGTGAGCAGCCGAACCAGAACCGGGCAGGGGAGCCTGGAGCCTGCAGGGGCCATGGCTCTGGGCTCAGGGGAGGCTGCGCGCGCGGGGCAGGAGCGTGGGCTTGCTGCCAGCGGACTAACCTTGCCTGAGGGCAGTTTCGGAGCCGGCTCAGGCTGAGAAACATGCGGGCACGCTGCTCTCCTTTCTCCCTGCCTCCCCCGGCCCTTTTCGGGCTCAAACAGTAAAAAACAAAACTTATTTGGGAATGTTTTTTGGCCTCCATTTTCTGCAAATTGGTCCAAGCCCGTGCATCGTGCCCACTCCCCGCAGCAGCAGCACGGGTGGACGGAAACTTACAACAGGTGGCAGAAAGTCAGGACTTGGGAGACGGCCTGGGTCCCTCTGTGTCGCCCATGGGACAGAAGCAGGCGAGGCAGGGTAACCCGTTGAGCAGACCAAACATCTCATTTACAAAGTTTACACCTGTCTCGCAACTTTAACCTTTTCTGGAAACATTAAAACAATCTACCAAATCTCAAGTTTGAAAGTTTATCCTGTTCTGGCCTCTTTCATATGCAAAAATAATTATTTTTCTTCAAGTACAACAGAGTAGAAGGGAAATCCGATTTGCTTAGTCCAGTGTGTTGAACTATTACTACTCCACGGACTGGCCACTCCGGGCCTGACTCCCACATACGCCCCACCCCGGGAGCCCTGTGTCCGGGACTGTGGCCCCTGGAACAGTCTTTGCTAGCGACTAGTTCACTTGCTCTCCAGATGACAAAGGTATTGGCTTAAATAAACAAGACGTTCCATTAGACACATTTCTCTATAACTTATCTAAAATGTTATCAATGGAGCCCTCTTTCGGAATAAGGCTGAAAAATAAAAAAGCACTCTTGGTGCATACAATAGAGTTGTTGACTGCTTCTGGAAAATTCTGAAACAAATACTATGACTTAACAGCTCATTTGCAAGCAAAGTAACCAATTTGTAATTTTGCGAATTAGGAAAACAGTGGGCTAAAACCCTTCATGCTGCACGACGGGGGTGACCCCCCCTCTCTGAGGAGACCCTGCCCCTGGTGTCTGCAGAGACCTGGTCCAGTGTCACACATGGGAGAGCACAGCCAAACCCAACCTCAGAGGCACAGGTTAGAGAAGGCGTTAACTAGACGGCTAGGTCATCAGCTGGATAATTCTTTCTCTAGCACTTGAGACATTAGAAATATTTCAGGAACGACCATGTAAATATAGAGGACATAGACCGGATGGAGCCTTACCCATGGAAACGGCCAGGAGAAGCTGGCTAGCAAGGTTCAAGTTCAAGAAAATACTGTCATCCAGGATGCTCTTATGTTTTCATTACATTACAGTCTCTTTCACAAAACGGTATCCAAAAGAAAACAGGAACTCTTCACTTTACTCCCAGCCATTGTCTTTGATCATGTGGGCCAGCTCGATGATGAATTTTCCTTCCTTGTATTTCTGACTGCTCTCAAACGCATGTTCCTTGGGGTAAAAAAAAAAGTAGAAACAGGGAAGGTTTCAGGACAAACGGTTTCCTTTTTCAACTTTATTACACTCTGAGCAAAGAAAAGGAGTCCATATGTACGTGTATCCCCAGGTATTCCCTGCATCAGGCTCGTGGCTGGGAGGGGTCTGTCGTGGGTGGCAAGCCCATTGAGGGCGATGCAGGCCTACTGTGCGCTTGCCATCAAATTATGGTTAGACTTATAGGGAAATACCATTTCAAGGTTGTTATTGAGCATCCACCACGGCAGTGCAGGGCAAGCTGGGAGATAGAACGAGGAGCATCTTGCTCCTCCCAGGGACTGCGGTTAACGGAGAATGAGGGGGACTCCCCAAGAGCCCTGGGCACAGTCCAGAGATGCTGCAGGGAGGGAGGCCCTTAGTCGGGTAGTGTGCAGGGATGGGATGGAAATGGGCGAGCAGGCGAAGGCCTGGGGAAGCACGCAGACCTCACTAAGCCTGTCTCTGTGCTGCGGACTGCGTCCCCTTACATCTGACAGGGACATGGGACACCAGCAACTATCAAGAATTTGAGGAGGGCCCTGGCTGGCATAACTCAGTGGATTGCGCTCGGGCTGCGAACCAAAGCATCGCAGGTTCGATTCCCAGTCAGGGCACATGCCTGGGTTGCAGGCCACGGCCCCCAGCAACCGCACATTGATGTTTCTCTCTCTCTTTTTCCCTTCCTTCCCTCTCTAAAAATAAATAAAATAAGATCTAAAAAAAAAAAAGATGTTCTCTCTGAATCCTTAAAAAAAAAAAAAAAAGAATTTGAGGAGGGAGAGCGAGTGGCCCTGATGGAGAAAACCAGAATGGCTGCCGAAGACCACCACCAGGAAGGCACATGCCACGCCAGACGGGCCTCCCAAATGGGGGTGGGAGCGTCCGCGCGGTGGCTGGCGGGGAGGGCAGAGGGAGGGGATGGGCTGGTGCAGCGAGACAAGTGTGGGAGCTATCAACAGAAAAGGGGTCAAAACAAGTGAGATCAGAGAGAACGAGGAGAGACTTCCCAAAGCCCAACACCCAGAGAACAGGGACAGGCCAGCCTCGGTGGGGGGGAGGGGCAGAGGGAAGCCGACAGTTAGGCTGGAGATGGGGCGGGAGGGTGCCGCTCAGCACAGGTGCCAGGAGAAGGGCTGAGAATAAGAGCCGTGGGCAGAGGGGCTTCTAGGCATACAAGGCACCAAGCAGGGCAGAGGGGCCCCAGGCCCATCAGCCAGTGAGCGTCCCCCAGTGAGTGGGACACCAGGCCGCACGGGCCTGTGGGTGGGGCCGCGTGCCCAGATGTCTTTAAACGGTTCAACAGGAATTCTTTCAACGCACGAACCCTCTGACCTCTGACTGACAGGGTCACACTTGCGGGGGGGCGATCTCGCGCCTCTGCAGATTTTGTTTTCCTGTGTAAACGTTTTGTTTGCTAGAGTAAGTCTGAGTGTCCCTGAGCTGTCAGAAGGAGGCAGCTACTCACGTATTTCCACCCGAGTGTGGTTTTGCAGTTCTCACAGTAGATGTCTGCGACGGCGTGCAGGCCCGTGAGCAGCACTCTCTCCTCCGCGGGGCCGCAGCCCACGTTCACCCTGCAGGGAGGGGGAAGCAGGTGCTGGAGACCGTCCCTGGAGGGGCCCGGGCAGGCAGGGTGTTCCCACCCCCCGCTGGCTCCCACCCTGTGCAGTGACTTCTCGAGCCAAAGGCTACCAGCAATTCGGCATTGTTTCTGCTTGATTCCCTGCCTCCCCCAGCGCCTGCCCACCGCCACCTCTTATGAGAAGGAACGACTTTTTGTTTCCCCGTGAGAATCCCAGGGAACAGCCACGGGGCGGTGGCCACAGCTCTGCTGCAGCGACACTCAAAGCCCACCACAAATGGCAATCAGGCCACAGCGTGTGTGCGGGACTCGTTCCTCAGGCAGGAGCCTCACGCTTTCCCGACGCTCTCAAGACCAGAGAGAGGGAATTCTTTACAGATCACGTAAGCGACGCTGTGTAATTCTGGACCGCTGGTGAACACTATCTGTGTGCCCCAGCTCTGAGGAATTACACGGGTGGACAGAAGCAACAGGCGCGGCCTGGCGGCGAACACAGCAGCGGTACTCACACAGAATTGAAGAGGTAGGCGCGTCCCTGACTTCCCTGAAAGGACTGCAAAGAAGAAAAACAGTTTCAGAAGGCTCGCTGTGCGAGGGCACAGGTGATGGCGAGTCTGGTGGTTCGGAACGAGAGCGGTGACACCGAGTCCGGGTCACGCGGGCACGAGCCGAAGGGCCTCCTGGCAGAGCGCAAGGGGCAGCGCTCAGGGCCCCGGGCGGGACAAGCATCTGCCCAAACGGGGGGCCCGGGAGTCACGGAGCCCCCGGAGCCCCAGAGGGGCCGCCCAGGTGTCCTTCTCACTCACTCCGCCTGCACAGGACGCCCCCTGTCTGTCAGATATTAGGAGCAAGAGGATGTTTTCCTGCTTTTCCACTGAAATAAAAACAAAGTCACAGCCCAAGATGGCCCCTTCCCTGGGGGAAAGGACAGCTCGCCCCAGGAAAGTGTTACAAAGCTAAGAAAGAGCTCGTAGCATGTTTACGTATTCTCGGATGACTTAGGAGGCAGAACGGGGTACCAGCGCCTCCCTGACATAATCGGGTCACCCCAGCCTGAGCTCCTACAACCCTCGCCCTCCTGGGGATGGGGGACACTGGCGGGGTGGAGGGGGTTCACCTGCGCTGGTGCCAGGCTCCAATGACCAACTGGAACGGACGACTGCAGACGTCACCAGTGAAACGCAAACCAAGAACACTGTCCGGGTGTCTCTGCCTGTCACCTGGCCCAAATTCGAAGGCAGCGAGGAAGGGCGATGGGAGCTCAGGCTAACAGTACCGGCATGTGGGAGGGGCGTGCCGCACGGCCCAGCAACCCCACCTCGCAGAACCGAGCACAAAGAACGAACCGGTGTGCACTCACAAGGAAATGGGACGAGAACAGTGGCCGTCAGTGTTTGCAATCACAAGAAACACGACAGAGACACCCACCAAGAGGCGGGCAGACAGTGGATTTGTTTCACACGGGGATTCACGCAGACACTGAAGAAAGGGGGACAGGGACAGACACCGTGACTGTGTGGAGGGAGACAGTTCGGTGACGAAAGCTGGCTGCAAAATGACAAGTCGTGAGCCCTTTCTCTAAAGTGAAAATGGCCCTGACTGGTGTAGTTCAGTGAACTGAGTGTGAGTTGCAAACCAAAGAGTCAGCAGTTCGATTCCCAGTCAGGGCACATGCCTGGGTTATGGGCCAGGTCCCCAGTAGGGGGCATACGAGAGGCAACCACACATTGATGTTTCTCTCCCTCTCTTTCTTCCTCCCTTCTCCTCTCTAAAAATAAATAAATAAAATCTTTAAAAATAAAAGCTCACAAGAGGGTAATTCTAAGCATTACATCCCGCTAATAAAGAATTCTCCCTAATAAGAAAGGAAGGGGCTGTTCTAGTCACATCTCCCAGGCAGCAAAGAGGGCCCAGCGCTTCCCTCCTGGGCATTTTCCAGAAGATACCATTCTCCACCCAACAGCCTCTTTTCTTAACCATTCTAAGTTTTAAGAAAGTCTTAATTCCCTTCTCCTTACACTGTTTCCCCAGATTTTCTAGACTATCTCTTCCTTCCGTGGGTCTGGTTTCACACGACTTTTTCTGCTCGGGCGGACAACCGACCCGGCTTGCTCCTCGGAACCGCGGGCACCCCTGTGCCCGGCCTGATGAGCCCAGCCACCATGGCCTGTCGGTGTAGCCTCGCGTCACCACACGTGGGACTTCCATCAGCGTTGCCCAGAAGGCCCTAGACTCTCAGGACAAAGCAAACCTAGGCAGCCGTGTGACGCTTTACTGCCTCGTCCATCTGCTAACTAGGGGTGACAATCATTGCTAAGGAATCTCATCCACTTCCAGGCACAAACCACTTGCCTTGGAGATCAGCTCGTCGTGATTGGCCAGGTGGGCTCTGCAGTGGACACAGCTGTACGTTCGGTGACAGTCTGGCAGGTAAGCTTGGAAAGTTTTGGATTTTGTCATCTTCACCATCTCTGCCGGGCACGTGCCGCTCAGCTCAGGGCTGGCACCGGACGAACCGCGGCTCTGTGGGGGTCTCTGGCAGAAGCAGCACTGGAACATGCACGCAAGAGCCGTCGCTGTTCCGAGGGCGTGTGGCACTGTCCACACAGCGGGGACGCGAGGAGGACGTCACAACCTGTCAGCAAGTCCAGACACACAGCGAGTCACGGAGAGAACGAAACTCACCAGGAAGGTGCGTCCAGGATGCATGTGAAGGAGGCGGGCAGGCAGGGCTTTCCAGCTGAAGATCTAGTCCTTCGCACTAACTGCACAAAAAATACTCGCATTTAATCAGTTTAGCCTGTGTCTAAACCTAGTTGAAAGTGGCAGATGAACTACTTTTACATTCAAGTAACTTGAGGAAAACATTGATCAAATACGCCCGACGCTGTGTGTGGCCTCAGGAAACAGCAGCCAGTCCCGGCTCGGGGGGGCCGACAGCAGCACGAGATACATCTCGTCCCAAATCACGGAATTCATGACTCAAAGCACCATAACATTTATGAACGCCTCGGACGGATCCACTATTAACTGGTCTCTAAGAAACTGCGTGGCAGTACAGAAGTAAACCTTTGGACGTGGTCGAATGATTCTCGAGAAGGGGGCCTGGGCCGCTCAGCGCGGGAGGACGTTCCAGGAACGCCGCTGGACAGCAGGACGGCCACCTGCAAGTGGACGGAGGCGGACCCCTCCCGCAGCCACGAACCAAAACCAACTCAAATGGATCAAAGACCTAAATGTAAGAGCTAAAAGTGCAAAACTCTTAGAACGAAACATGACACAAACATTTGTGGCACTGGGTTTGGCAGCGACGCCTTGGACGACACCCTAGGCACAGACACGCGCACACCGGCAGAGGGCAAAGTGCGAAGAGAATGGGCGGAGGTAACACAGGAAGTGACAGAAGCCTGAGGGTTTTCCAGAATTACAGAAAGACACCCATCCAGACTTCCGAAGTCCAATAATTACAACTATAAAAAATAAGAATAACGCCACACAAGCCACTTAATAAAACTGCAGAAAACCAAAGGGGGGGAAAAGCCTTATAAGTATCCAGAAAGGGAAAATTACCTTTCAACAGAAAAACTTCCCAAGGAAAACAATGGAACCCAGAAGGCAGCAGTAGAGGAACCTTTAAGGTTAAAGATAATAACTGCCATCCCAGAATTCCATATCCAGCGAAAATATCTTTCGAGGGTTTGGGAAATGATATCTTCAGGCAACTACAAAATATGACCTCAGAAAAATATCACTAAAGAAGTTCAAGGATGTGCTTTTCGGACAGAAGAAAAACACCACTAGATAAAGTCCAAACTTCAGGCTCTAAAAGAAGGAATAGCGAATAAAGAAAACAGTAAATACATGGGCAGTAAAGAGAACAATGACCTGTATAGCTTTAAAAAGATACAATTAGCCCTGTCTGGTGTGGCTCAGTGGGTTGCGCACATGCCTGTGAACCAAGGGGTCAGGCCACCAGTTCAATTCCCAGTCAGGGCACATGCCTGGGTTGCAGGCTGGATCCCCACTACAGGGCGTGTGAGACAGAAGAAGAGTTGCCTTGGACCACACATTAAATACACAAACACTACCGAAAACTGATGAGCAAAAAATAAAAGGTTTTAAGTAAATTTACGATTTTGCGTTGGGCTGCATCCATAGCCTGTGGGCCCAGGGCTGGACACCCCTGCAAGGGAGGCAAGAAAGGAGAAGGGAAGAAGCAGGACAGAAACAGAAAGCACAGAGAAAGGAGGATGACTTACACCCAAACAGAGCACTGCTTACATAAAATGCAAATGGACTAAATGTTCGAGTTCAAGGTTCCAGACTGAACGGAGAACAAAAGTCCTCTAGATGCAACTTACAAGAGACACATCCTAAACATGGAGACAGGAAAGGGTTGGAAAGGCCAGGAAGTGGGGAGGCGGCAATGCGTAGGCAAGGTCTGCAGTTATTTGCTGGCAGTCCCTTTTGAAAACGTGTTTCTTGTGTCTGAGTGATTCGCAACAAAGAAGCGAGAGCAGGCAAAGCAGAGGGAAGATGCACAGGGCGCGGCAAAGCAGAGTCACAGTCGTGAGTACATAAAGCAGTTTATTCTTGTGTTATCTATTGTGTTATTTCCTATATGAACAACTATAAACCCACTTTTGCCCCACCCTGTAATATGCAAAGAATAAAACTTTGCTAGACAGGTAAATGGGTTACTTCATAGTAAAAACAGCAAGAGATAAACAGCAAGTGCATATATTACCTAATAACAGCCTCAAAACATATAACTCAAAAATTGACAGAACTACCAGCCTCTTGTACTGTTTTGTTTCCCAAATAAACTACTGAAATCAAACTGCAAAAAAAAAAAAGAACTACAAGAATACATAAATCAGTAATCAGAATAGAATTACTACTTACAGTATACAAAGTAGAATAAAGTATATTTCATATATTTATATACTTAGTATATATTTAGAGCATACATATATACACAGGATATATAAGTACACAGCACTATTAATGTGTATATATTTATATAGGATGTACTACCTAAATACACACGATAAAATATATTTGCATTTTATCTTCTCAGTAACTGGCAGAGCAGACACACACAGACGAGCGTGGATCTGGAGGGTGTGCGCAGCGACAGAGAAGCTGCACCGAAAAGACACGAGGAAAACTGAGCAGCAGAACCCACACTTGTTTGAAGCACACACACACCTACAAAACCAACCACACAGTAAGTCTCAGCAGATTCCCAAGGACCCTACTCACAGTATCTTCTCTAACCACAACACAATTAAGGTAGAAATCAGTAATAAAATATAACTAGAAAAACACTCATGTTTAGAAATTAAGAAATGGAGACTTCCGGCCAAGATGGAGGCGTAGGTAGACACACTGTGCCTCCTCGCACAACCACAATAAGGACAACAAAAATTTAGAAACAAAAAAACAACCAGAACTAACAGAAAACTGAACTGCATGGAAGTCCAACAACCAAGGAGTTAAAGTGGACACATTCATCCAGACCAGTAGGAGGGCGGAGAGGGGTTGCAGCAGAAAAAGCAGTGGCTGGTGGACCCTGGGTGGCAGCGGGCGGACCCATCGAGGTGGCGTTTGTGAAGCAGGGCATGGCGCACAAGGAGGCTGGCTGACCGGGTGGCCCCACATTCACGTGCAGATGAATCAGGTGAAACTGGGGAGCGAGACAGACTGCACAACTCAGGGTCCCTGCTCCGGGAAATAAAGCCTCAAAACACCAACTGAAAACACCTGTGGGGGTTGAGGTGCCGGGAGAGACTCCCAGCCTCACAGGAGAGTTTGTTGGAGACCCACAGGGTCCTGGAACATACACAAGCCAACCCACATGGGAATCAGCGCCAGAAGGGCCCAGTTTGCTTGCGGGAAGCAGCAGAAGGGACTGAAATCCAGCAGAGAGCAGAGCAAGCGCCATGTTCCCTCTCGGACCCCGCCCCCACATACAGTGTCACAACACAGCCACTGGGTTGCCCCACCCAGGTGAACACCTAAGGCTCTGCCCCTCACTATGTAACAGGCGGGACAAGGCAAAAAAGGCCCAAATGAATGAAGAGATCAAAGCCCCAGAACAAATACAACTAAGTGACGAAGAGATAGCTAATCTATCAGATACACAGTTGAAAACACTGGTAATCAGGATGGTCACAGAATTGGTTGAATTTGGTTGCAAATCAGATGAAAAAATGAAGGCTACACTAAGTGAAATCAAAGAATATGTATATGGAACCAACAGTGATGGGAAGGAAACTGGGACTCAAATCAATGGAGTGGACCAGAAGGAAGAAAAACATCCAACCAGAAATGAATGAAGAAACAAGAACTCAAAAAAATGAGGAGAGGCTTAGGAACCTCCAGGACATCTTTAAACGTTCCAACATCCGAATTATAGGGGTACCAGTAGGAGAAGAGGAAGAGCAACAAGTGGAAAACTTATTTGAACAAATAATAAAGGAGAACTTTTCCAATCTGGCAAAGGAAATAGACTTCCAGGAAGTCCAGGAAGCTCAGAGAGTTCCAAAGAAGTTGGACCCAAGGAGGAACACACCAAGGCACATCATAGTTACATTAGCCAAGATTAAAATGAAGGAGAGAATCCTAGAAGCAGCAAGAGATAAGGAGACAGTAACCTACAAAGGAGTTCCCATCAGACTGTCAGCTGATTTCTCCAAAGAGACCTTACAGGCAAGAAGGGGCTGGAAAGAAGTATTCCAAGTCATGAAAGGCAAGGACCTACATCCCAGATTGCTCTATCCAGCAAAGCTTTCATTTAGAATGGAAAGGCAGATAAAGTGCTTCTCAGATAAGGTCAAGTTAAAGGAGTTCATCATCTCCAAGCCCTTATTATATGAAATGTTAAAGGGACTTACCTAAGAAAAAGAAAATTAAAAAACATGTACAGTAAAATGACAGCAAACTCACAATTATTAACAACCACACCTAAAACAAAAACTAAGCTAACAACTAGAACAGGAACAGAACCACAGAAATGGAGGTCACATGGAGGGTTAGCAACAGGGGATTCGGAAGAGGAGAGAGGGGGAGAAGTTATGGAGAATAAGTAGCATAGATGGTAGATAAAAACTAGATGGGGGAGGGCAAGCATAGTAAGGGAAATGTGGAAGCTAAAGAACTTATGACACATGGACATGAACTAAGGAGGGGGAATGTGGGTGGGAAAGGGTGTGCAGGGTGGAGGGGAACGAAGGGGGGGTAATGGGACAACTGTAATAGCACAATCAATAAAATATATTAAAAAACACACAAAACTTGAACACACTAGGGAGGTAACGAAGCCAAAAGTGTTTGCAGAAACCAAATAAAATTGACAAGCCTCTGGTGAGACTTATCCCGGAGAGAGGGGGAGAGATCAAATAGAAATGGAAACAGGATATCATACTTTTGGATAAAATTCACGAATAACAGGATGACCAATTTAAGTCAATATATTTAAAATGGAAACCACAGGACATCCGGTCAAGATGGCAGTGTAGGCAGACATGGTTGCCTCCTCGCACAACCACATGAAAATTACAACTAAAATATAGAACCACCATCACTCAGAACCAAAAATTGGGTTGAATGGAAGTCTGACAACTACAAAAT